AATACGATATGTACTCGAACAGGTACAGGAATATGCTTTAAAAGAGTACCTTATCAAATATGAACAATCTAATGGTTGACTTTTCAACGTCATACTTCAAAGTTTTTGGTAGAATTATGCGTCAAGATTAGAGGGTACGAGTATATTGGTTTGTACTATTGTTTTACTTATACTAATATTATAAAGCTGAAGAGTTCGTTTAAACGGGCTTATATCAAGAATTATTGGTTCGTATTGAAAAATTATTTTTGTGTTGGTTATAACATTTATTTAGGAAGGCTTTTTATAGGCTACCGCTGATAGGAGCGAGAACGAAGCGAAGAGCGAGAGAGAAAACAGAGGGAAATTTGAAAGAAGCGGAGAAAATTGTTCATCTTTGAGGGTTTCCGTCGCGTACGCTGCCAAAAATATGTAGGAGAGAGATTTTTCTTCATTTAGTAATCTAAAAAATGGCTAAGACTGAATATGTCTATCTTTTAAGATTAACTCACAAGAACCGATTTTATGGGAATCAAATTTCGTCCAAATATTTAGTTGTTGTTTAGTTGTATTTAGCCGCTGAAGTTTTGTATATTTAAAGTGCTACGATAAATCTTAGCCTAGACCTTTAAATAGAAAATCTAGGCGATCCATGGCTAACGTTTGGTAAATGGGAAATCGCAACGGTATTGACATTGTATTTCGGTATAGTTTATTTATGTCTGGCCATGAAACGGACCGTTCTCCAATCGCTGCCGGACCGCGCTCGAAATACCGCCAACGATACATTTAAATCGCTAACTTCCATAATTATTTATTGGTGAAAATAAAAAAATATATATTTAAAAAAAAAATCACTCACCTTCCTATTTTGACGAGAGGGCGTTAGCCCCACTTGGGAGCCCATTTCGGATAAGATATCCTTCGTCATGGTGCACAAGAAACACGCGCGATTTTAAAATTGGAAAACACAGAACGCGTTGCGCGTGCGGCGCGCAGAATGGCAAATGATGGCGCGCGGGAGTTTGCGCGGTTTAATGGATGTTAAGAGTGACGTCACAGCGCCGGCACCTTCGGACCTTCGCTCAGATTATCTTCTGTTTACCAACACTTGGTCTTGGTATTGATGCTTCGAGTGGTGTACTACTCCTAGCTGATAACACAGGAATTTTCGCAATTTCGCGATCTTGAAGGCGAGACGTCAATATTTTCGAGATTGTACACTTAATCATTATAAATTGGAACCGTAGAACAAACAAGTACCGTCTTTATTTGATATTTCGTAAAACACTTACGAACTCTCTTAGTTACTTTATTTTTCTGTCGGTCGCTATAAGGGATTCTAAGATAGGAAATAAAAAAAAATATGTCATACTTCGCATTTTCAAACCGTTAATAGCGTTTAGTTTAAAACAATTTATCTCACATTCATAAACGTTGCTTTAATGTATATGCGTGAAAAATGTTTTTGTCAAACCTTACTCGTGCTTGTTGCTTAAGAAATATGTAGGTACTACTAATATAAAGAAAAATGATAAGTTATAAAACCAACTACTATAATGGTAGAACTTCGTCTACTTTTGACAATTTATTGTAAATTTTCTCTTATGTTGAGAAAATCTTATCTCACTTAGTCATGTCCCCCCCCCCCTGTTTTCTAATTATGAAAACTTTTTTACAGTAACAATCACTACTGGAATTTATAGGCTTAGTTTTTATCTAGAACGTTCTGTAAAAATGTTAACTAGCTGTGTTAGCGACTTCGTTCGCGAAGAGTAGTTATTGAGCATCCAAATTTACTGTCGGGTCGCGCCCCATCGTTCTTGCTAGTTAATCTTAAAAGGTAGACATATACTGTGGCGGACATTATTTTAGACCATTCAAAGAGGAATCATTCTTTCATACATATTTTTGGGTACCTTGAACCATTTTCGCAGCGTACGCGTCGGAAACCCACAGAGAGAAATAATTTTCCCAATTTTTTCCCCTTTTAGTCACAGCGATGTTTTATAGCCTATTATAATCTTCCTCGATAAGTGCTCTGACCAATAACATTTTTTCAATTCGAACCGGCCGTTTCTGAGCTTAGCGCGTTCAAACAAACAAACTCTTCTACTTTATTTATTAGATTGGTATGAAGAAGCGATAAACACACATGATTTTCCGCAATACATGCGAGTGATTATTGAAAATGACCTTAATTTATAGCATTCTTGAATACCGATCGTGTCAGTGTTAAGAACAACAAGCGTTTAATTTAATGAGACGATTAGTGAAGTGCAATTTTCAAATGGAAATTGCCGATAACATTTTCTTGCTCTTTTTATTCAATGTCAAGTTTCATTACCATACGTTTAACGGTTTAAAACACGACCTAACGTATGCTCTACAATTTACAGCAGGCGTTGTCATGGTTTATTTTATGTATGAGGTACCCGATAGTACTTTACTTCCTTAAAAAGTTTAAACAGAATAACTTTTTTAAATAAAACACTTTAACGGTTTAAAACGCGATATATTAGTTAAACTTATTTGTAAATGATTTTTAACTTCGGCCCAGCCGTGGTTACGGGGAGCCTCCCCGTTAAAAATCAATCGAAGTTAAAAATCATTTCCAAATAAGTTTAATTAATATATCGCGTTTTAAACCTGTTAAAGTGTTTTATTTAAATGTGTACTACTCGCGTAAACTATAGACAGTACAGAATTACTTTGATCAGTTTAGACGCCAAATTGCCAAAAGGCTAAATAAAGGCTAATATCTATACTAATCTTATAAAGCTGTAGTTTGTTTGTTTAAACGCGCTAATGTTAGAAACAACCGATTTGAATTGCTTTTGTGTTGGTCTGATCATTTATCAAGAAGGGCTTTAGGGTATACAACATCACGCTACTACTAATAGGAACAAAGAAAAAGTGAAAATGTGGAAAATCTTCTACTTTGATGGCTCTTCTGATTCTGGGAAACCGGTTCGAGAACCACACGGTCACAACGAGTTCTCGATATATTTAAATACTTACTTTTATAATAACTATAAAAACATCTTTAATTGTTTTTATTCGACATTTAGTGCCACAAATGGCGACGCTCTTGGCCAGTTTTTTTTATGAATTAGCTTGCAAACAGACATGAACCGACGACGGCGTCAAACCTTACCGTCCAAAGTAACTTTCACATCTTCAGGCAAGACTCGCATTGGAAACATTATATTGTGTACTCCCCAACCGATTTTTTCCCGGAAGTCCAACTCAAAAATCTTGCCCTTACAGCCTCGTTTCTTTCGCCCTTGAATCACGTTTATTGGTTGCCCATTCATTCTAAATGTGTACGTACTTAATACAAAGAGCGAAATACAACAATAAATTCTATCTAGATCTATTAGCGACGACAAACTGTAATTTATATGAAGAAGTTTAAGCTCCAAACGTTTATGAATGACACAATATTTTCATATCACATGAGTACGACAAACAATGATCTATTTTAATATATTATGCATATGTGATTAGAATACCTGACTCGTCTGTTGCCAAGCAGTCGTATTATTAGTTTTTTAATATAAGAGGATGGACAAGCATGAAGTCGCGAAGATGAAGTGCCTCAGCCATATAACATCTAATATACCTAACATCTAATAGACCTATTTTGGTTTTGAGTATTCGGAAACAAACAGATATGTTTACTTAAAATTCTATTATATTTGGTCGAGCCGCTTGCGTGTGAGTGTAACAAACATTCAATAAACGCCCTTTTGCAGCGTCTAACGGCCGGTTTTGATAACTTTTCCTCTATCTTTTTTCAGTGATGTCGAATCGAAGTTTCAATTCACAAACTACAAAACTGTTAACCAAACTATAGCTCTGGCAATCCGAAAATGTATATTTTCTGGATCGCCCTCTTTGGGAAAATGTCTATGGTTGGGTTACAATAATTTATCCTTTTTTTACTTCGATAAAAATATACCGTCTGTAGTTGTAGTAGTACACATTTAAATAGAACGTGGTCACAGGGAAACTCTCTCCCCGTGACCATGGCTGCTGCAAAGAATCCGAAACGTCGGGCCGTAGTTAAAATAATTTTCAAACAAGTTTAAATAAATTACATCGCGGTTTAAAACGTTCTAGTGTTTCATTTAAATTTGATAAATATATCTATAACATACTTGCTCGTAAAGTGGTTGTAATTACACCAATTTCAATATAGTAATGTGTCTCATTTCGTACTTGTGCGATAATGTAATGTAAAAGGCACGTGTTTTTTTTAAATAAAGTTTTAAGATACTCCGTCTAAAAATGAACGATACTTTTAAAAATCTTAGCAAAGAGGTTTTATGTCAAGAAAATGGTCAATATTCTAAGAATAAAATTAACTTTGGGAAATAAAATATAACAAATAAACATTTAATTCTTTAATTTAATTAATTTTGACAATAAATTACAACCATTTATCTATAACAAAAACAAACTTTACATTATTAGTAATACTGGCTGTTTTTGTACCCTTGCCTAAAAAAAGTTGATGCGCGCGCATCGCTTATAACTGCTTTAACAATTAATTAAAGATTTATTCGTTTAGCTAAGTTAGAGTTTTATTAATTTCCTCGTAAATATGTTATAAAACGTCGTATGACATACGTGCGCTTTGAAAATTACAGGATTTGCTTTCTTATAGCCCTCGCTTTCGTTAGTAATATCGCCTCGGCTCGAATTTTCAACTTACCCCACTTATATTATAATGTACTATTATGGCTATTTACAATTCCTTCATCTTTATTGAAACTATAGTAATAGAACAACTGTAAAATAAATATCGGGTCTACCAACATACAATGTTTTAGATATTGTTATAGCTAGTATCTTTTTCGGACATCAAGTTTATTTAGTTTGTTTATATTCCCTCGAGCGAGATTTCCTCTTAAACACTATTTAGTGTTGTCTTACCCCTATGGCGATGAAGATTTGCTTGTCTATACAACTGGTCAAGTTAACCACAAACGAGTACAAGAAACACTTTTACTCACCCAATAATCTTCTATCAATTGTATATATTCTATAGCTGGCTTTTTCACCATCTGTCGCAACTTTTTTACCGGCTGCCTCATCCTCCAAAACAAAATCGAACACTAATACCACAAACAAACAACAACTGAATAATTTAATGCAAAGTTTTTAATTTATGATCTAGATAAAATGGCGTTGACTCTTCGTATGGTTCAGTAGGTTCATTGAAATATATAAACATATATATTTACTAGATACTGTCTATAGTTTACGCGAGTAGTGCACATTTTTAATAAAACACTTTAACGGTTTAAAACGCGATATATTAGTTAAACTTATTTGCAAAAATCATTTTCAAATAAGTTTAACTAATATATCGCGTTTTAAACCGTTAAAGTGTTTTATTTAAATATATTTACTAGGTGTGGCAGCGAATTCGTCCGCGTAGAATAGTTATTTCGGGCATCAAAATTTGTTTTTGCAAACGTCATCTTTATAAATTTAAACTTTCACCCACGACATCGATCGCGTCCCGTCGCTCACGACCCGTCGCGGTCGTTCAGGTCCCGTCGTTCTTGCAAGTTAATCTTAAAAGATAGACATATAGTGTCGCGGACAACATTTAAGATTATTTAAAGAGGAATCAGTCCTCTATATTTTTCGGTGTCTTGAACCGTTTTCACAGCGTACGCATCAGAAATACACACAGATGAAAAATTTCCCCCGTTTTCACATTTCCCGCTGTATCTTGCTTCTATTAGTCACAACGCAATGTTTTTATAGCATATAGCCTTCCTCAATAAATGTTCTAACTAACACAAAAATATTTTTTCTCAATTCGAACACGTAGTTCCTGAGATTAGCGCGTTCAAATAAACAAACACTCTTAAGCTATATATTAGTATAGATATAGATATAAAGGCTGTTAGGAAGAACAAACCGTTGCTATCTAAAAATACACGACATTGTAACCTGTTCAGCCACATATGACCAATCCAATCCCTTTTCTCTCTCTGGGGCATAGAACAAACCTATTTCTTCTAGCATTTGACTAATAGATTGTATTTACAAATAGGTATTCTTTGCCCTGTAAGACAAAAACACCTAGATTCCAACCTAGGGCGTCTGATCAGAGTTTCAGCGATACGAAAAGTGTAAGTAAAGTACAGTAAAAAAACGGTTTAGACAAATTGAAACACCTTTAACATGGTAGCAACTATTATATTCGTATATCTGTTTTGATTTATAATAGACTTTAGTTTGACTAAATACTGCTGAATTTTATTTTCAGGCAACTCACTTAATCGTTTTTGAATAATTCAACGCTTAAGTATCGCGCTAGTTACAACTAGCTAATATAATGGCAATTTCCTAATTGTACAAGGAATTCTAAAGATTAACTTTCTAAATTGACAATATTATCGTTATTTACGATATCATTAAACTTGGACTAAACGATAACTGATCTGATAACAGTTACGTATGACAAATTTATCAATTACTAGCTGACTTGGCAAACGATTTTTCGCTATATGAACTATTTCGACTACATTTGATAACCATAAACCGTTCTTGTGAGTTAACCTTACAAGATAGACATGTACTGTCGTTTTTAAAGAATATTTTAAGAAAAATATTTTTTTTTATATTTTTTGTTATCATAATCCATTTTCACAGCGTACGCGACGGAAACCCACAAAGGTAATTCGTCCCGTTTTTTCACATTACCAGCTGTCTCATTCGCTTCTATTAGTTACAGCGCAATGTTTTATAACCTATAACCCTCCTCGATAAATGCTCTAACCGATAAAAAGAATATTTTTTTCATTTTGAGCCGAGTCATTTCTAAGATAAGCGCGTTCAAACAAACAAACTCTTCAGCTTTTATATATTAGTATAGATAGATTATTTAAAAACCTTGCTGACCTCGCGAACATCGCAACATTACTAATGTTACTATATTAAATCGTTACGTTACGTTACATAACTTAGCAGTTGTAGGGTACGAAGTCCAAGCAAGAATGAATTGTTTCAGTAAAAAAGGAATTGCAAGGCACCAGGAATATTATTACTTTAGTTGTGCAGTTAATTTATTTAATTCTAGAAGTAGAATATAGATGTGTTAAACAATTACAAATGGGAGTACGTCACAATGATCGACTTGATTGATCAATGATTAACCATCTTTGTAGATCAATGAATAAACGCGTTTCCTAGTACTGCGTGAACCACGTGAAGTTCTAGATTCGAATTTTTGGTAAACTATAAATGGCTTGGATTGGGCAAAATGTGTACGCAGCCTGCATTATAGGTATAAAGGTTCATATTCATTTATGTATATACACTTTTAACGGTTTAGAACACGAAATGTATTAGGCTTATTTATTTTATCTACTGGCCGACGTTTCGAATGCTTAGCAGCAGCCGTAGTAACGGGGGGACTTTGGGCCGTAAATAAAATAAGTTTGTTTATATGTATATGTTGCGTTTTAAACCGTTTTCTTATATTAACAGCGCGATAAAAAAAATCATATTATGGTACGGAGATCAATTATTATTTACAATCAATAGTTTCTGTCGCCTTATCAGAACGAATTATCTATACTGATAAATAAAGCTGACGAGTTTGTTAGTTTGTTTGTTAAACGCGCTAATCTCTGAAATTACTGGTTTGAAATTTTTAAAAAATGTGGCGGTTAGAGCATTAATTGAGGCTATAGGCTATAAAACATTGCAATGTGACTAATAGGAGCGCAGAGACAGCGCAAAATGTGGAAAAAACGGGGAAAATTATTCATCTTTGGGGGTTAGCAATCCGAACGTTACGAAAATGGTTTAAGACAACCAAAAATATGTATGAAAGAATGTTTCCTCTATACATCATCACTATATGTCTATCTTTTTAACTAACTTGCAATAACGACGGGTCGCGGATGACGTCATTGGTAACAGCTATAGTTTATAAAGATTTTGATGCCCAATATTCTACGCGAACGAAATCGCTAGCGCAGCTAGTGTTTCATATGTAGGGATTCGAACATAGGTTTTCACGAGCTTAATGAAGTAAGGTTCGGAGTATCTAAGAGACAATGTTGATATTCTACCAGCCTTTTAATATATTACACCTCAAGTCCTGTCGCCCCTGTGCACGACGAATAGAACTAAAAAACGACTCTTTTTCTCTGTTATAGCTTAAAAAGTTTTTGTTCCAAGTAAAAAATATTATGCTTCGACACTATTATTTGTATTATGTGACGGTATAATTAATACAATCACATGCCACATACTACATTTCACACACTACTCAGCGTAATTAAATCCATACTAATATATAAAGCTGAAGAGTTTGTTTGTCTGAACGTCCTAATCTCTCAAGCTATTGGTGGGAATTGATTTGACTTACGGGAGCCAAGAAACAGTGGGAGAAGTAGAACAAACAGGGACATCGTCGTTAATCGTCTTTGAGTGCTTCCGTTGTCACTGCGAAGACGGTTGAAGATGCCCAAAAAAATATGAAAGAATGATACCTGTTAAAAAAATGTCTGCGATAGTATGTCTCTTTTAAGATTAACTTGCAACAATGACGCGACGCGACCAACGTTGTGGGCAATAACTTAAATTTATAAAGATAAAGAGGAGATTTGGAAAACAAATTCAGATGTCCAAAATAACAATTCTACGCGGACAAAGTCCCTGGCGCAACTAGTATTATGCTGAATTGGCATCATCAACACAAATAAAAATGTCGACGCTGTGTGTCTGTTATTTGAAATGTTTTGTTACAATAGTATTAGCTTACTAATATCGTATTAACTTCATCAGAACGTACCTGACACCAATGAAGCATTGCGCCAGGAGCTGAGTTCACAAATTTCAATTGATTCCAATGTAAACACTTCCAGGAATTCAAATTGCATTTTGTTAATATGGATGCGGTATTTCACCTCCCATTAAGTAAGTCTGGCCTCTTCTATATTAAAACAAATGCTATGTGAAAAGTAACTACATCTTATGAATAAGTGTTTTTTTGTTTCATATCACCATATCATCAACAAAGTGCGCTGGCTTTGGATATCCACAGAAAGCAAATGAAGCGCCATTGCACTTCATGGCTTTTACATCTTTGGACGGTGGTTCGTGACTCGGATGGAATTCAGATATTCCCATTTAATGTCCAGATATCCAGACATCCAAGATGTTTCAGAATGAATATAATTGATTAGAAGCAAGTTGAATCGGGCGGGGCTAGAACCCACGACCCGATATTGCTAGTATTAGACTAATGTGCCCGACAAATTCATAAAGATTTCGCTAATATGTTTCTTAGATTTTCGCGCTTGTCGGCCGTTGGCAAAACGACGGAACCGCTCGAAAATTAAACATTGATAATGTTGTTTTTAAACAGTTTTATTTTCCTGCTGTCAGGCTGATCTGAAATTTGGTACACACGTTTAATTTAGATGACAATACAATATCATAAAATCAATAACATTATATGGCCGATTACATATTGTTCCTTAACCCCCTCAATATGTGTATCAAATGAAAGGGCTACACTAGTGAAACACGATGATTATGTCAAAATTTGTTTTTTTTTGTAGTTTTCACTGCACAAAAAATAAAACCGTTTGACTTAAAAGTATGATCATCATATCAGCACATTCGTCAGGCTTGCGTTTTAAAATTATTGGAACTATTTCCGAATTGACGCATTCTCACACGAATAGCAAGCACACTACGACACTTTACTCACACAAGTACACTTTCGTGTAGGTGTAGTTTACCTGTCACAAGGGCAAGATTGATCTGTTTGAAACACTTTCGAATTCTGGCGATATTTCTCATTGTATAAATATGATGTAGAAATATCTTTGTCGCGAATCATTTTCCTCGAATACCTATAATTAAGCTATTCAGTGTCACTAGATAACTTCAACGAATAATATCTATACTAATATTATGAAGCTGAAGAGTTTGTTTGTTTGAGCGCGCTAATATTAGGAACCACTGGTACAAAATGAAAAATTGTTTTGTATAGACCATTTTTTGAGGAGGGTTTAGACTATAAAACATTACTGTGACCAATTGAAGCGAAGTTTCTTCGCGTGGAAAACGTGAAAAATCGGGGGAAAATATTTATATTTGAAGGTTTCTATTGCGTTCGCTGCGAAAACGTTTTTATAGGAATAAAAATACTTCAAAAAACATTTGCCAATTCAGTTAGTTATATATAAAGAAATGTGGAAAATCTATCATTAGCTATTACAATCTTTCAGTTATACCTACTGTGACTGTGCTCAAGAAATTTATGAAAAAAAAATATCTTAGTACAAAGTCTTGATTGTGTTATATTTATATCTATCGCATACATATTTATTTCTCAGATTTCCTTGTTTACCATGACAATTTGAAGATAGTAACTGACAATTAAAATTTTTCGATATCTACTCAACATTTTGACAATTTTGAAGTGTTATAAAATTTTGGTATAAGCATCCGATTAGCGGGATTGCCCATCCCGCTCGATTCTCGATCATAAACTGAAATATTTATCTATGTACATAATCTGATACATACCCTCCGGTAAAGAAAATTAAAAAAACGAATACTTATATAATATAAAGGCATTCAATGTAAATAGATAATCTGTTGGCCCGTATGGGGTAAACCAAGCTCTTGTTCTAACCACTTGAGCTACCGTGTCTTAGTTGAGCTGCACAGAACGCTATAGATGCCGGTTCCAGTCCCGCCCGTGTCAAATTTTTTTTTCTAAATAGATTCCTAATATATACTAGCTATGCCAGCGACTTCGTCCATGTAGAATAGGTATTTTTGGTATCGTTACTTGTTTTTTCAAATCTCCTTCTCATCTTTATTATTTACTGTTAGTGTTACCTGTTCTCGACTTATTTTGGGTATTATATTATTTATTTTTGCAAACAACCTCCTTTATAAACTATACCTGTCATCCACGACGTCATCCGCGTCCCGCCGCGTGCCATCGGGACTCATTCGTTTTTTATAAGACATACATATACTGCTGTGGAGATTTTTTTACATCATTCAAAGAAGAATCATGTTTTCATACATAATTTTTTGGTTTCTTAAATCATTGCGGCGCCCGCAACGGAAGCCCTTAAACATAAATATTTTTTTAAAGTTTTCTGGGATTAGCGCGTTCAAACATACAAACTCTTCAGCTTTATAATATTATAGTGAAAATATGAAAAATAATAAAATCTTCAATCACGTTCGTTCAATTTGTCCTTAACCCATAGAGTTCACAGCACAAACGCCGGGTGTAGAATGAGGAGAAGAGATTGCAACACCTGCGCACGCGCCGCGCCAGAATAACTCGAGCCGGTGCGAACCAGTTATATCTGGTTGGCTTGTTAGGGAGGTTGCTGGGCTAAATAAAGAGTTATGTTCTTAGTGCTAGCGATTTCGGATTGGAGACTTGTCGCGGTTTTGGTACAGTAAGAGATCGGCGGTTTTAATAAGTAAATATACACATACATTTAAAAAGGCTGGCGATAATCGAACTTGCGGCAGGTGGCCCACCGTGACCTTGCACTGCCAGTTAACCTAACATGCTGATGGGCTCGTTGGTCCAGTGGTAGCAATGCATGGTTAATAATCAACGGGTTCTACTCCCGACAAGTTTCAAATTAATTTATAATTGTTTTGAAGCATGTTGAAATATAGGATATCGAATATCGAAATTCCGTTCGGGCCACGGACCACAGATGAAAAAGTCGTGAAGTTCAATCGCGTTTCGCCACACTTTAACGACAGCGCATCTTGTTGAGGTGTTATATGGCTGAAGTAATTCCCCTACCATCAAGGGATACGTTAGTCTGTCCTCTATTAAGAAATGTTGGCACACTATATGGTGAACAAGTTTCATGTCATTGCGCACGCTCATAGTTACACTCAACACGATAGTCCAATTTGTATGGGTTCCTTACAAACTACTACATACATAAAATAAATTGGCAACATCGATTTGATGTCATCTCAGAATAACTGATTACTAATCAATGATAATTACAAATATTTTATTATAAGTTTGTCGCAAAAGGATACTGCCTGTAGTTTAGGCGAGTAGTTTAAATAAAACACTTTGACGGTTTTAAACTCGATATATATTAGGTGGGTCTCCCCGTGACCATGGCTGCTGCAAACCATCCGAAACGGAGGGCCGTCGTTAAAATAATTTTAACTAATAGGTCTATATAGCGTTTCAAACCGTTTAAGTGTATTAAATACTATCTATAATTTTGGAGGTTTTTGTAAGTTCACGCTACGCCGAAAGAGGAAAAGAGGACACTCTTTACGTACCAGAACCCATGTCCATCTACTTGTCAACAACTTAATATGTTCGTTGACAAACAACATATTAGATACGTCTCCATTGTGCTCTGGATAAATTATCGTTTAATTGAAAACAACAAATAAGACAGTATAAAAAAAGTCCGAGGCTGTGTTGGAGGAATGGAAGCGCCAAGAACCAAAAATCTTTGGTGTCCAACTGGAAACAAGAAGCACATGATAGATTGTAATGTCGGAAGCATTTGGAGAGTCCACAAGGTCCTGTACAGCTATTGATGACGATAAAAAATTTGTTATTTAATTGTCCTTTTTTCTGCCGCAAATCTGTACAACATATAGTATAGTAGTATAACATTCCACTACCTATAAATAAGAGGTCTTAATCCCAAATTTTGGGGTTCGAACGGAAACCTGCGATGCTTACACAATAATACTAGACAAACAAGGCGAATCTGACGGACAAGTTAGTAAGTAAATCTGGATATTAAAAGGGCGGTAGGGATATCGAAATTCCGTCCGGCTCACGAACCGCCGACCACACATCTAAAACTAGTCAAGTTTTATCGCGTTTCGGATACAGCCTGTCGATTTCCGAATATCTAAAGCCAAAATAGGTAGACAGGGCATCTTGTTTATGGATGGGGTATCACCTACCATCAAGCGAACTCTATGCCCGTCTGAACTCTTCTATTTAGACCTTTTCTTTCTAGGCACTTGTAATACATACATCTCGTTGAAATTACAGATCTACATACGCGTATCACTGTATTTGTATCGTATATATACATACACTATACGTTATGCGTTTGTTTGCTGGCCGGGCTACGGACCTAGGATTCGATATTGATCAATAACCGAACCAAACTTTTTGTCTCTTTTGTTTATGAAGCATGCGTAAACTACTACCTGATTTGACTATCTCTACGTCACAGAATACAGAAATTACCAGAACATATAAGCGTACTCCAAAGTGAAGCCGTCACGTTCACTCTATATTGTAGTGGTCTAAGGTTTACTTTTAGGCCGTTAAATATTTTATTTTAATCAATGTGGAGAAAATATACACTACAAATACTTATAGTAAGAACTCAATTAAATACTGCCAGATTTTGGGTAGTTTACGCGAGTAGAAGATATTTAAAAAAACACTTTAACGGTTTCTAACGCGATAAATATTTTTTAAAATCATTTTAACTCAGGCCCGACGTAGCATATATCGCGTTTAAATTTACAGTGTTAAATGATAATGAAATGGCGGTTGGATGGAGGAAAATTATGGATGCAAAGCGCGACTGTCCTTCTGTTTTGATCAGTATTCTGTGCTGTAGGTCACGGGAGCAGTATCGCATGCGCGGGAATAGAAATCAATCAGAGCAATATATGTATACCGAGAGCGGGAGTAATTGGCTCTAATGAAGAAGCGAGGAGGTGGCCCAGCGGTGTGATTGAAGCCAAGGTAACAGGATATAGGGCGATGGCAGGAAAACAGCGATTGTATTATATCGTCCAACGTCTCGTACGATACTCAATCGACAAATGACTCTTGAAGGAGGAAGTGTAGGCGCTGAAAATACACCTTTGTAACTAATCTTTATAAACCGAATATTTTTTTTTGCATCGACGTAGTATGTAGAATTTAGTGCCTAACGTACCTTATAAGTAACTTCTGATCTGTTGTCGATTTATAGACTACATTTTTAAAACCTTCAATTATCTACAGCAAGTTCTTCTTAGTAAAGTATATAGTATAGTAAAGTAGTGATAAAAACTTTTGGTAATATATGGGACAAAAGTTTCGTCAAGTACTGAAAAAAGGAAATTTAATGAAATCACTACTTTCTAAAATTGATCAGTGTAACAGGCACGGAAATATAACCCCAGTGGTCTACGTAGTGAGAACAAGATGTCACCTTTAGTATGAGGTCTAGCGCATTTGGAACATTTTGTATTTTTCTGTAATCTATTTCTTTTGTGCTAACATTGCTAAGATTCTGACACAAAACCGTTTTTATAAACTACATTTCGAAGTACATTATTCTTCTTCATTCTAGTTTTATTGTATGCGCGTGAGCATGATAATTTTGGCAAGGTATAACTGGGGTTTGAAAGATGTCCATTTCTAAATAACGAAACTCTTACAATATTAGTGTTGGTTAATGATTAACAATATTACAATTGTTAATTATTTTAAATTTCAAATTTATTAATATGATACTTAATATAAGATATTAAATTGTCATACTAATGTTTACTAGAAAAATGCTTTTAGGTAAGTGTATTCTAAACAGTTTTAGAATACACTTACAGAAATAAATAAAAGGTAGTAATTTTTATTTTTTCAATTTTTTCAATAGATTGCTTAACTTATCCCTGAGAAACTTCGCAACTTGCTCACCCACCCTTAAACACATAGATATATTGATTACAATAAATAGTATATACCTACTACTACTATATTATGTATATTAAAAAATATATTTTTATCCTGTTCAAAAATCGTAGAATTATTGCGTTTATTAAATTATTGATAAAATGTTGATAAATTGTGATTTTAATTTAATTCAACGAATTGGTACAGTAAAGAGCTACTTTTCTATGGCCATATTATTATTGTACTGAGTAGAAGTGAGGGCGGCGGGTGGTTCGTTGCTATAGTTACGAGCTATGGTTTCCCCGCCTCGTCCTGCACTTGCAATCGGACCTGAAAATTATAATCTACTGCGCAAATTCGAGGTATTCTGCATGCCCTGTACGCTTACAGGACTCTTGCATGTAAAGCAAATCAGTCTTTGTTAGGACGTTGATATGTACTGATCTGTATCTAGTATCTTGGTCAGTACACCGGTAAAGTGCTTTTGTGGCCTGATTTAAGGTTGAAATATTTAATTTTAGTTATTAATTCCTAAATAGATAAAAAGTCTACCAAAGATTATATCCAAATCCTAAGTCATTAAAGCCATAGACATTAGTTTAGATTATGTCCAATGTCAAGCTTGTCAATTGTCACCGCGTGAATTGTCAAGTTATGGCGCTAACGCTGTGATTAGTTTAGTGTGATTTGTATTTTGTGGTCGAAAAAGTTAGTGATACCAATGTCCATTTTCGGGCTTGATAAAATTTATCCGTGAGGGCTTGATATAGGTTGGTGGGTTAGAGATCATAATAGTTAACGTTTTAAGTGTTCATTATGGTATTTGCTCGTTGTGTTTTAATTGTGTGTAACGGCTTTTTTCCGTGCTTGTAAGTTTAGTCATGACTACGATTTATTTTCTATGTGGTTATTCGTATTTATTATATTGGTTGCCCGACTTAAGAGTTTAGGCTATGTAGGGAAGTTATATAACTTGTATCTATCATAAAAACGTTGTGCTGTCGTCCAATATGGTTGCTTCTGGCGCCCTTTGTTCTGATACATGTTTAGTTTGAAGTATAAATGGGAATTCCATAATATAATAGTATAGTTACCAAAACACACAAAGCGTATAGGTCTAAATTTAGTTTTACAGTATTTTAATGCATGTTCTAACTAAACTATAGAATACTCCAAACCATAACATACTATTTAGCTACAATTGGTTGTCTCTGTTTATTTCATGAAATCACAACAATGGTTTTGTTTTATAAATATAAATTTCGTCTCAGAATATATATCTTATAAAGTATGCATGTACATGTCAAAAACTGCAAATGTTTGGAGGGGTCGCTTATTATCATAATTTGATGTCTCTTCTTGTATTCAATTTTTGTTGCTTGGCTTACTAATGATAGCATAGGACTGCCTTAATATATCTGTATTTATCTTTTCTTTACAGCTACGCACCTTGCACACAGAGCAAATTCCATGTGAACCTCAAAAGAAACTAAGTATTTAGTGATGTTTTGGCTATAATTTGTTTTTCTTGTTATTATGTTTAATAATATACAAAGCTATGCTGAAATTGACTCACAGGTTTTACAGATACACTAATCTCACATGTGATTTGCATTACAATACAACACAGGCAAATTATTCACATCTAGCATTTATAAGGAAGATATGCGGATTAGAAGTGAAATTGTTGAATCCTTTCTTGTTGATTGCTCAGGGTAGGTTGGCTAATATAAAGAAATATAGTAGAGTTAAAAAAGAAGACATTGGGGCACATGTGCCCAGGAAACGCAAACAAATGAGTGACTCATTGCAACCAACACTACACCATACCAGTTTTGGCGGACAGTTTCAAGTGTAAGTGTTATGATAAACAATATAGAGATCTACCTGTTGATAGATGTTATCCCTCATATACAGTTGATTTAATTTTAGTTATACTTGTTTACGAAAGTTTATTTTATTGTTATAATACACTATTTGAAAAATATCTTATATTTTTAGTTCATATGCACTATGTATTTTTTCAATAAACTCACTTGCACAAATGACGAGAAATATATATTTTTTTATTAGGACACTTCTAACGGTTTTAATGCAAAATGTATTACATATTATTAATGGATTTACAATTTATTTAATTATGACCCAAAGATTCGGATGCTTTGCAGCAGCTATGCTTACATAGGAGTACAACTGCCTTCATGTTTTAAACTGTTAAATCTGTTTTATTTAAATTGTGTGCCACATGTGTAAACTACAGATAATACTTGATTATTTAATTTACATGTCTATTTTTAATCAAAAAGTCATTTGAAGGTTATTTCTTAGAAAAATTTATTGTTCATTAAATGCCATAATAGTAACATGATGCGTCGAACTTAGATGATTGGTAGGAGAAATTATATACCTACCTATTTTTAATTAACAACACTGAAAAATTAATTATTTATACTTATTTTTGTAACAAACTTTATTTTATGACTTTGTTTAGGAATAAGATATTGATAGATGAATATTTTAGACACTATTTTAAGTATTTGGTAAGAATATTTGAAAGTTTTGTAAACTCCAAGCCGAGAAAAGGAAATAGAAAAAAAATATACTTCAAACAGCATTTTTTTCTATAAATTGCAGATTTTTAATATCTATGTTTGGATTTTTAGCCTTCCTAGTTTTTTTTGAATTGGTGTTGCAATAATTTCACATTTTTTACAATTTGATGCTTTGGTACAAGCTATCACTTGTATTAAAATCTAAAATTAATTAGTATTTTTGTATTTAAAATATAAATAGCCAGAAAATAAATATGGACCCCAAAACTAACCTGTGGGACTAACAAAGTTTATTTCTTTTTTAATTTTTTTGCAATGTAGTTTCCATTAATGTTTTTACATCAGTAATTGGGCAATTAACAATTCATCAAGGAATCAAATTTCACCATCCACAGTGTATTTGAATTAAAAAAAAATAACATTTTGAAACACTGCCTACGAGTTAATACGATTTAGTTAGAAATAATGAACACCTGCACACACCTAAAGTGTATATGTATAATAATATTAAAAGGTATCACTGGTGGCTCATGAAACATCTAACAAAATGTTGTTGTTGAATATATAATACATATATTCTAAAATCTTCATAAGCAAGTTTACTAGAGTTTAAAGTTGTTATAATCTATTTTTTCTATTTATTCGTGCAGTGATGAAGAAAGAACCTATGAAGAGTGGCAGGAATCAACTTCAAGTTCAGGTGAACCCGTGAACCCTCACACTGGGAAACTGCCCCCAGACTTTCGAGTCTGGGAGCTTGTGGAGTCATGGCGTAGTAGTTCCACCAAGGGTAAGTGAAAGTAAAAACCTTACTTGGTAGCTAATGCTTTAGACTGCTTATATGGAAAAGGTGCCTAAAAATTTCAAAAGTTAAGGAAGTTGACCACTGTTTTTATAACCATTTAATAATGTTATTAAATTACCTTGTTGCATTATTGTATTCTAAAAATATGGAATTGCTTGATTACAGCCAATACGTTAAAAATCAGAGTGGTCTCCTACAATGTTCTTGCTCAATATTTGCTGCAAAGCCACCCCTACCTTTATACCAACTGTAAGCCTAATAATCTGAAGTGGCAAGTTAGAGCATCTAAGCTTTTTAAGGAAATTGTCCACTTAGCGCCTGATGTAAGTTTCTTTTTGTATTTACAAAAGTAGGGTTAACACACTATCTTTTCAAATGAAAATGTCTAAAGGAACTAAAGAAGAAATTCATTCGAAGTTTATTATAGTTATTGTATCTTCCATGTAATTCTTGTAGTAAAACTTTTACTTCCAAAAAAAAGGTATGAATTTTAATGTCTTGTTATTTAAAATAGAAACTGATAATCCTTTGTATGCATGGATAGAATGGTTTGAGATAAAAAGTGGACAAACAATATTTCAGATCCTCTGTCTACAAGAAGTACAAGCGTCACATCTGAATGGATTCTATGCGAAGTTCGAAAGTTTGGGCTACGACGGCCTCTTCAAACAAAAGAGGCAGAGGGACGATGGCTGCGCTATTTACGTCAAGAAGTCACAGTTTGAAATCCAAGACCAGAATACAGTGAGTACAGTAAATAATCTGCTATTGTCGGTTTTTTTTTAAACAGCCAGTTTTTTGGTAACCACCCTAACTAGTAATTCTGTATGAATATACAAATATAGCTTCTGTCTTGCGTTTACGGTTATGGCTCTGTATTACCTAGCTTTGAACGAACCTAACCTATTTTATGTTTTTGTGATTTTTCGTCACTATGAGTGGATGACGTCATCGAGAAATGTACTTATCATGTGAAAAACTGAAGCCTTAATTTTAGAGGTCTTTTTAACATATATATGGACCTCAATAAAAATTTAAATTGTCGTCAGTAATTGTTGTCTGTCTCTAAACTAGATTGTTATCGATACCCAAAACGTGGCGCAGTTCTTCACGGCCATAACTTGTTCTGAATATAATACGCAGTCCAGGGTCGCACGCGGTACTAAGAACTACCCGTGAACTTATGATTTGAATCAAATTACATAATGCATTGTGTCGACAACAATGTTATTACTAAGCGCGACGTGTATTTAAAAGCAATCATAGTTATTTACTTGACTACAGAATACTTAGAATCAACTATGGTCTCGTGAAACACGAGCAAACATATTGACAATTGTCCTAAAAAGTTTATTATACTGCCGTAACACTTATCACCTTTCATTTAATAACTAGCTGTGTCCAGTCGTTTTTGCAAGTTTATCTTAAAAGGCTATACTCCCCGTGGCCGTGGCTCCCGTGGACACATATTAGATTATTTACGGAGGAATCATTCTGTCATACATATTTTTTGGGTATCTTGAACCGTTTTACCAGCGCACGCAACGGAAACCTTTAAAGATAAATATTTTTTCCGTTTCTCTCATATTTCCTACTCTATCTTCGCACACCTAATGGTCACAGCGTGTTATAGCCTCAACATTCCTCGATAAATGCTCTAATTCACACAAATATAATTTTTCAATTCAATCTAGTCTATACAAATATATAAAACTCAAGAGTTTGTTTGTTTGTTTGAACTCGCTAATCTCATGAATTATTCTTGCGTTGAATAAAGCATTTATCGATGGAGGCTAAAATGACACGGAAAGTCGTGGACACAGCGATGACATAAAAATAAAATTATAAACTTACTTATATAATAATACGTAATAAGTTTTATATTTGTTAACTTCTTTTTTAAATATCCCATTTTTTTCACTTTATGTTATTAGTTGTTTAGTTTTAGTAGGTCGACTCAATCTCATTATTTAAGTACTATATCCACTACTACTTACTTTATTTGGTAGTTTCCATTACTAACTGTCGGCTAAGTATGTATCTGTTGGTACATGACAATAATGTCTTACAATTTTTGCTTCTGCGCTCTTTGGATGTACATAAATATTAAAATATTAGCTATGGCGTTTTAATAATAATTTTTATGTTAATGTGATTATAATTAGTATAGCTTTCGTAAGATTAATTTGTTAAAAACAATAATAATTACTTATAAGTTATTACTAATATTATTGTCATTAAATTGTTCTTGTTTATTTCTACCGCTATTTTAAGCCTTACACAAATACGCGATGCGATCTCGGTTTAAGAAAGTGCAAGATGCATGCTTTTAAAATAAGTATGTTTACGCTTCTATAATTCAAATTCAACCTCAGCCATATAACCTCTCACCACAGCTCTGTCGACCTATTAAAGCTTTGGCTATTTGGAGATACACAGACGTGATTAAACTTGACGGTTTTCTCACCTGTTGACAGTGGTTCGTCACTCAGACGGAATTTCGATATTTCTATCATCCATACGAAGGTCCAAGATGTTACAGAAAAATTAAAACATGTAGGACCCACAATCCATTGCTACCACCATATATGATTTACAGCAGCAGCGAATAGCAAACGCAGTTTCAACCATTGTTTTATGTGTACCAAGCATTAATAGATATTATTTAAGATCTTAGATATGTTAACATCTTCCCCAGGTGGAGTACTTTCAGCCTGATATGCCGGTGTTGAATCGAGATAACATAGCACTGATGGTGAAGCTCGTACCTCGTGGCGCGAGTGGGACTCCCATTGTGGTAGCCACCACACATCTCCTGTACAACCCGAAGCGAAGTGACGTCAGACTAGCCCAGATACAAGTGTTGTTGGCTGAAATCGACAGATTTGCGTACTACGATAATGGGAAAGAGTGAGTCTTTTACGAGCTCTTGCCTCGCGGCTCCATTTGGTACTAAAATTAGCCGATCCGGCGAACGTTGTTTTGTTCGCTTAACATATTATAACCAAATTTGATTAACAGTAAAACTGCTCTTGTGAGATCATCTTAAAAGATAAACAGCGCGCGCAACGGAAGCCTATTTTTTATATACAGCTAACTGTACATGTAAAGTTTTGAATGATGAACAATGTCTTATTTGCAGATGTGGATACTTACCAATAATTTTGACCGGGGATTTGAATTCTACGCCTGGAAGTCCAGTTATTGATTTATTGAACCAAGGATGCGTGAGGTAAAAACAAATTTAAATCCGTTAGCTATATAGTCCTGTTTAGCAAGCAATGGTCATATATAAACTAAAGACTAGTTCTCAAATCCAAGGCGTCGAGCAAACGAGAAGAACTGGCAAGAAACTCGCCACCACTACGTTAATCGCCAGTTTTTTGTCTTCTTCGTCTTCACGTACTTTAAGTGCTATCTTTCTCTTGTTAGTGCAGGTTCCAAGCATTTTTGTCGTCAAAATATTGGTTAACGTCATAATTACAAGAGCCTAGCTAGATCACTGCGCAATTTAGTTGATGAACATTTTCAGAGCCTCCTCGTTCCGCGATGGTAGATCTGACTGGCGAAAGATCGGTGTTACTGATAACTGTCAACATCTATCCATATATTTGAACCGGCAGACGGGCGAAGGTTCTGGAACCGACTTTAATTTGACCAGGGTAAGTGTAACAAACGACAAGACATCAAATTTTATAATAATAATAATAAATCTCTAATATAATTACAATAAAATATTAAATTTAGTGTAAAGAAAAGTGATTCAAAAACGTCATGCTAGCATAAGTTGAAGCTCAGTTATGCTACAAGACTGATTTTCAGCAAAACCCTACTGTTCGTCTGTTAGACAGCACACATACAATCAATTGACATTTTAGGAAACATTAAGTAACGTATAAGTATCTAACTATTGCAACTATTGGTGTAAATAGTAGGAACTACATATTATCAAAGTAAAAACCATTATATTCTATATTTTGACTCCTCTTTGGGTACTGGTATATAAGGTTTATTATCATGGGGTCGTGGAATTAATGCCAACCGGGCAAGTCTCTAATTAATTTGTATTTTTTCTAAAACACGATGAATTGCGTCTGGACATCTAGATATTAAATCGGTTTAGGGATATCGACATTCCTCCAAATCACAACTCACTGTTCACAGATGAAAAAACTCGATATCTAAAACCAAAATAGGCCGACAGCGCATCTTGTTGAAATCATTTGGCTGGGGTATTTCACCAATCAAACTTGTCTGTTATGTATCATGAAAAAATACGATATCCAATTTATTTTTAGCATAAATAAGTCTCTTTAAATATCCTGATAAGGGCTCTCTGGCAAAAGATTTTCATCTTCCAAGTCCCAGCAGTGGGAAGTATAAAAGAGCTGGTGTAATTATTTCAATTTCGTTACAGATCTACAACTCGGACTATTCAATGTCGCTTCCAGATGGCAGCATTAACGACGAAACCTGGGATTACAACGAGTTGTTCAATACAGACGATATAGGCCACCCCTTACAACTGAATTCGGTTTATGACAATATAAAGCCGGATGGCGTCCCGGAGGCTACCACGTTTCAAAACGAGTGGGTTACCGTCGACTACATATACTTCAGGTATTGTGCGAAATATTTTAGTAAGTTATTTTTCACTTGTTTTAACATCGACCCGATCTTTCTGTTTCCTTATACCAGCCGTGATCACGGACTGAAGTTGGTGAGATTCCTAATATCCAAGTCTAATCTGCTACAAGCGCCATCTCTTGGTTATTTCTATAAACTAGCTAGGTCCTTAAATGAATAATAATAAAACCGCACCGATACATCAGAGGACAGTGAAAATACACTAAGTAATATTTCGCGTTTTAAACCGTTAAAACAATTTTATGTAAAGCGCTGTTATCAAATCTGCTTACAATACTGTGTCTTTCGAAGGTTTTAAAAGGCATAAGTGTTGTCTCCTTTAGGACAAGTTAATGTTATTGATAAGCATTATCAATGACAAGAGATTGTGTTTTGCTTTCAGCAAGCACAGTTCGCTGAAACTGATAGAACGACTCCGGCTTCCAACGGCGGTTGAGTGCCAGTCTTTGGGAAGTTTGCCGAACGATATCTACGGCTCCGATCACCTCGCGGTGGCTGCGACCTTCGCTTTAACACCACAAACTCCTTAAATATCCCCCACTATCTACTACTCCCCCCCGCCATCCTTTTATATAAGCCAGAAGTTACTTTTTACATGTGTTCATAAGATTTTTTGCTTCCATCGCAATGTTGAATTGTCATTTATCGGTTAGTTTAATATTGCATTAGAGGTTTATTTTTTTTGTATGTTGCGAAACATATTTTATATTAATATATTTTATTTACTATTTGTTATTTGATTGTTGTTATATTATTAGACGGTAGTTTGACAGTGTCCGTTTTGTACATATTTGTGGTCACATTTTGTTAACTTAGGCGTTTTCGGTATGCTCAACTAAAGTGTTTCGAATTGTAAAAAAAACAAAACAGGTAACTTCTTACATCGTTACTTCGTTATGACACTTGTAACTAATGATGAGGCAATAGTCTAAAAAAATAACGAATTATATCATTATATCAGGTGGCCATTTTGTTTTTTAGCATTGTTTATTTTTTTTACTTTTTTTTCTATTTAAGCCAAGAAATTATTTAATAACGAAAAATTACAAATGTTTATTTTGTTTTCTTACATTACCATTTACCGCTACACTGTGAAGGATTTTTGATGTCGTTATTTTTAGATTGCCGCAATTTTAAACTTGTGTCACAATTTATTTCGTTAATGACTTAAATGACTGTATATCATTGTCTTTCGGGCTGTTCGGCCGATGTGAGCGAGAAGAGGTTCTCGACGTTTCGCCATCACGTGTGGACGGCATCATCAGGAGATGTTGACTCCTCGATTGCTCGAAGAATTGTCAGTTGTCCGCCGCGGTCTCAGATTATATAAACCCTGACAAGCGTGGATTGTAGTGGAGAAACGTCGAGACCTCTTCTCGCTCACATCGGCCGAACAGCCCGAAAGACAATGATATGCTGATAGATGGCCGCGAGCCACCAATTTATTAAATGACTGTGTTTGAAAACATTAATATTTTTCCACATGTTATTGCACATGAAGGCACTATCAAAAAATCGAAAATAAGAAAAAATTTTCCCCTCCGGGGGGGTTTTCCCCCCCCCCCCCCCCTTTCCCTCCTTTTGAACCCCCCCCACCCCCCCCCCCCCCCCCCCCCCCCCCCCCCCCCCCCCCCTTTGCTCTACCAATTGAGCTACAGTCCTACACCTCATCCTCGAATTTTTTAACTTATTGATACATGCAAGCCTTACTCAATTTCCTCTTAGGCTCAGTCTTCTTTGCCGCCTAAGTAAAAAAAAAAATGAAAAATTAAATGACTGTGTTGTTACATTTTGCTTTTCTCGCCTGCTTGTCTGTTTTATTCTTAATTCTAACATCAAAAGACTTCTTTGAATTTCCTTCCAGAAATAATGTCGATAATTCCTATAATGTGACATCTACTACGGCTATGATTATTTCATTTATTGGTAATGTAGTATGAGCTTTTAACTTTAAATGGTCCTAAATCTCGTGTCAACTTCGATGACATATCGAGAGCAATTGTAAAGTTTTTGTATATTCATACGTAACTACTACCTCCCTATTGAATTTCCTTAATCCCCTCTACCTCTTGATCGCGTAAAACTCAAAGCTCTCCCCCCCCCATACTTCCGTAAACAACTATCGCCTATATAATTCAAACTTTACCCACTTCCCCCCTACCCGCTACGATCCCTAAGCTGTCATGATTTTTTAATTATAAATCGGCCTCTATTATCGACAAAAGGCATATTATATACAATTACATACGGACAACTTATGTATGCGCGCTTGCAATGTATTTTCTAACAAGAATTTGTCGTTTCAATGTAGTTTTAGGAAATGAATGTTGTGAAATGAACGCTGAATTCTCAAAGCTTAAGCGTTAAGTGAATGTAGAGGAAACCGCAAATGTCAGAGATCTAGATGACATTATCCTTTCTCTCACTCAGCGGAACCTAAGGTGACCAATATTGGAAGATACAGGTCCAAAAGTCCAATTGAGTTATTGCAGTTACTTTACCATAGCAACTTGCATTACTACTTTGCTGCTTCTAGATCTAAGATTAGAGGAAGCAGAAAACATGGACAAGAAACCAGAACCCCCTCCCACTATTTGGGGGGCAGGCGCATTAGTACATATAAGTATACATATCGTATGAATATAACGCTTAGTTGTAGAGTCGTTTTTATGACAGCAAATGTACATTAGCTAAATTTATACGGAATCGTAAACACACAACATTGATTTACTTAAATGAACAAAAAGTAGTTGTTTTTACAAAAAAACATTGTCGTGCCGCCTACTTAATTAATTTTTATATATTTAAATTATAAAACTAAAAAATCTTTATAAAGTAGAGAAATATCTCCATGTTTGTTATTATTTTAATAGAATAAACTCAAAATCTAACCCAATTAATCAAATTTTACCGTCTTTAACTTTTTGACTATTACAATTAACAATGAGAAATAATTTCGACCATATCGGACCTATCTGACGATTTAACGTTTGATTTCTTTATTTGAGTAACACACAATAAAACCGGATTAAACTTTGAGAATTCAACTAATAGATAATCCTGATTTGGGTTTAAATGTTTCTACGTTACATTCTGAAACCTATATAGGAATTTATTAGTGTATGTTATCTAGAAATGCCGCAATAACAGTCTACTCCGAACGTTTTTGCATCGTTACGGAGTAATTTTTTTTCAAATTTATGTTATTATGAATAAGACCTTTTTACATTTAAAGGTGTATGTTACATGTCATAAACAGTTAAATTAGATCGCCTATAAGGATAAGAATTAATAAGTTGACCATTTCAAACAAACCCACATCTCAATTTAGGTACAAAATTTTCTATCTATAGTCTTAGATCGAAAGATGTTGATTTCATTATTTTTGTAACTATTTATTCAATGTTATTATTTATACACATTATCAATAAAACATGTGAATATTTGGGCTGTAACTGTCTTATTCATGTGTTGTTTTCTAGTTCATGATATGATTTTCTAGATAAAAAAATGATCATGCGTCACATTATATGTTGTATTACGATTTATATATTTGTGTCTGAAATGATTTATATAAGACTAAAAGGGTTACGAGTTTAGTATACTTAGTCCGCTTCTTTGATGATAAATCCTTCAACATTCTACATAAATAAAATTGTTTTCTCTAATTCCCCAATATATATATTGAAAAAGGCCCCTTTGTAAAGCTACTTCAGTTTTCGGGAGTCGTAATTAAGAAATCGTTATCGATGTTACCATCGGGAGTATACAACATGATAGACGTTTATTCCCAGTCTTCACATACTTGCATAACGCCTAATCGATGTCATCTAATCGTGTCGAATGGGCGAAATGTCGAAAATCATTTCTCATTCACGACGTAGAGCAGCTCGAAAACCTAAGTAGTTTCCCTGACTTCGTCTTGTTGCTTGAAAACGTATATTTTTAACTTAAACTTTCATTGTAAAAATGAATACCCTAATTGTACGTAACGAGATGTTAGGGATCGTCGATTGAGTCATACAGTTTTTTAAATTCAATAGAAGTGAATTAAGGTAAAATGAATGTGAAACGCCTGTGAGTGATCCTAAATAAAGCTCTTTTCCATTACTGTATATTTTTTTATTTACTGTACTTTTCCGTTTTTCATATATACCAAGTATTTTTTAATGTTTATAAACATACTAAAATTAATCCAGTCCATGTTTAGCTAAATTTAATACCCGTTAATATTTCTGTTAAAAATTTTTGGGCTAAATTTGAAGGTAGTCGTGACGAACGTGATTCGATGTTCTTACTCGCTTAAAATGCTGAATCGGTTCTGATAGAATCTTTTCTAGACATCATAGTATAATACTTTTTATGCTAAACATTTCTAGTTCACGTAGGGCTCTTAGGTAAAATGTTTCTGATTTTGCTTGTGTCGGTTGAATGGAATAAAAATGAAACATCAATTACACTTTATTGAATAATTTATACAATATTGGGTTTACAACACATAAGGAGAAAATTAAGTCGGCGTAGAGGTGGAAACTCAAAAGAACTCGAAGCTCCAATCACACCAAGGGTGGGGGGATGTTCTTAACGGTAGGGTTCAAAAGCTTCAGCTAACGCGATACCCACAGCCATTACTGATATACGTAATCGATTAGGAATGGCTATGCTCTCTACACAGATATGCTAGAGGGTAAACGGATAATATACAAATTGACATTTCTAGAAAGTCAATAGTAAAATGCTTAGATTGATACTAGACGAATTAGAAAACCAAAGATATTCTACTTTATTTTTATAACACAATTTTCTCGTCCTGTACAATGCTGATAGAATTTCTTCTAAACTAAGTGAAGTGGATAACTTTCTCTACCCCGTGTAGGATTCAAGAATTCAGTTTTCGGTCTGCCCAAAAGTATTGAACAAAATTCAAATAAAATACTGTCTGTAGTTTACGCGAGTAGTACACATTTAAATAAAACACTAACAGCTTAAAACGCGATATATATTAGTTTTAACTTGTTTGAAGATTGTTTTAACTACGGACCGCGTTTCGGTTGCTTTACATCTATCTCCCCGTGACCACGGCTGCTGGAAAGCATCCGAAACATCGGGCCGAAGTTAAAACTCATTTATATATTTAACTAAGATATATCGCGTTTTAAACCGTTAAAGTGTCATATTAAAATAGTTTACGAGAACAGTAAAAAAAAACATATTAGGTTTTGTCGGCGTCTGTATCAACCTATGTCATTTTACTAAAAACCTGGGTATACATAATTTAAATTAACGGATATCATCAATTGACTACTACGAACCTTTTCATTTTAACAACGCCACTATTGAATAAAACATGACCTCTATTGTAGGTGATCCTTGGTTGTAAACCATTCTGTACGTCCGTGCCGGGTACTCACTAGCGAGCCGCAATCGTAAGGGAGTGGTACAAAAATACACCTACGTTGTTTTTGTTCGAGCAATAGAATTAGTCAAACTTTTGACACCTATTGCAGCTAGTTACTGAGCACCTAGCATAATGGATATAGAAGTACACGTCTTCATATAAACGAGCTCTTTATCTTTCATCATTCTGTTATAATACACATCTTCTCTTATCAATAATATCCTGAATTCCAAAAAATATTGCGAGTAAAGCGAAATGTTACGTTAAGCACTTTCAAATTTCATTAATAAATTAAGTGCTCAAAGTAACGGTAAGTACGGAAATACGACAACACAGTTTACATGAGGATACAATACATCAGGCAATTACCATTTGTTAGAACGGACTTGAAACATAGTATTCTGTCGCTTGCTTCATTATTTGCCACCTAGGATTTAGCTTTTCCTTTAATACAACTCGACATAGTAATTCTTAGTTTTATAATTCTCGTGTAATATTGTGTTGTCGTATTTGTATAGTTTTTGTAAAGAAAAGCTGTGGATGAAGTGAACCATTCTCACACTTGCCGAATATTCGCTTATTTGTTTGTGGAAACAACAAAATCATTGTAATTTTTTACAATTTCTATGTCACGAAGTGTCATTCGTCTCTCGTGTTTCACTCGAGCGTCGGAATCTTGGCACTCTACCAATCGCGACCACAGTTACGTATAACACTTCGTCGCAATGGCACTGTGTTCCAAAACGTGATATAAATAATCGTGTACACTTATAAAAATTAAGAAAAATATATTTTATTAAAAGTGTAATAAACGCATACTTTTTCGCATGTTCACGTGGAGTCCGAAACTTTGAAAAAATTTATCGAGAGCTGATATACGTCAAATCATTCTGGTTGACACTCGTGTCTTAATATTCCTATAAAAAAACTCCTTAATACGACTGATGTTTATGATATCTGGTGACGTAATATTAGTGGTGTTAGTGCGTCTCTGCTGTTAGATGCTGTATTTTAGTGGACCGTTTTGCACAGACGCAAGATCATGTTAACGAAAATAATTCACACAGTATTCGACTTAAAATCTGAAGGTATTCCGTGCTCAAATTTTGCTCTCTATTTATTAAAATCGTAACCACATTAGGCCGTGTCTAATAAGCCTGGACTATTGAATGACTTGATATCCACAGTAGAACGAGTTCTAACCCAAATAATATGTGAACATACTCATTTATTCCTCTGTGTGACCCAAAAAAAAAACCATAAACATGCTCAGGACGGGACATACAAGGAGTAATTTTTTATCGATTACAATCAGATCGCCAATGGAACCTAATTTTAATTAACCATATTATAGGAGCTAGATATCGCATTGATTTAAAAACTATTATCTAATTATACTGGATGGAAATGTTATACCGCGAAAAATTCTGATTATCTCATAAGATCTCTTTTTAAGTATACTAGAAAAGCTCTTAACATTATAAAACCTTAAATTTTATGTAAGAGATTAGGCGTGTCCATTCTTATCTTACGCAATGTAAAGTAAGCTTGCAGCGAGTTTAAAAACTTTAAATTTCTATCTTAAAACAGAAGCCTATTTTATGGTGAAGCTGAAACGTTAGTAAAATTTTAATGTGTCGATTTCGCAAATACCTGTAAAAATAAATTTAAGGTTATATATATAAATATAATTAAGTGATAGAATATGAACACGCTTTTTTCCTGGACGGAGAGGGGCAAGTGTAAGAAATTAATTTTGTCATTTTCGCTCGAGCCGTTTACTACATTGGTGCAAGTAACTCGTCTGTTGTCAATGGGTCTTGAATTGTTTATTCCTTCGCGACCTTTAGTGTCTACTCGTGCCATTGTAGTGAGCGTGTACTTATTTTTATCTGGTGAAGCGCAAGCCGACGCAACTGAGGCGGTCCCGTCCAAGTTCCGGAATGCACGTGAACTAGCCTCACACACACAGATACCATTTATACAAGCGGAACGTATACCACAGATATACAATACGCTAGAAGGTTTGCGGACCTAACTATAAACCTTAAAATAAATATACAGATAAAATTGTACCGATTACAGTTGTTTACTAAAGACCATATTATATACAGTCTGTCCTTTCAGACTAAATCCATTTAATTAATAGTAACCAACTTCGCCCTAACTAGAGAAATTAAAATGATAGTTTGGGTGAAATCTAGGTATATGTAAACTACTTTATTGTAAAGAACCTTGAAGTGAAAGAAATGTTCAAGATTCTCGGAGCCATTTAAAACGAAGTTGGGCTTGATGTTCCTTCCCTTTATATCATTACATTTCTGGTTATATGTGGGAAATGCGCTGGCGTTGTGGTTTCAGTGAGTCAATGTAGAACGTTCATGTTTTCCCGTAAGCTGGCCCACAATAAAGATCTAAACTACATTATGTATCGTTGGTTAAAATATTTTTATATATAGGTTTTTTTTGCCGTTTACTTCAATAAATGCCTTGATTTTAGTAAAGGATTGTAAACGTTGTACTGTAAAACGGAGAACTATATATTTAAAAATAAACAAACTTTTGTTGTCTTTGTAACTAAGTTTGTCTAAACATTATATCCTTGTACAATAAGTGTGCGAAAATGAGCGAACCAGCGACACAGTTGAAAATTCCGCATTGTCCCATACTAAGATATAAAGGAAAGAAGCAGTTACAATACGCATCGGGTCCATGACTACAATCTCACCGTACAACTAATAATACTGAGCAAAAATTATAATACGCGAAATTCACTGCGTACATACAATTTTGGCCAACACGAGTTATCTTTTGCGTTACATTTCTATACTATATATATTTTATGGAATGTATGTCAGTCTCACCTTCGTTTGAAAGAGTTAAAGAATACTTGGTGGGAACTGTTTATATTAAACAATTTCAGCCAAAAAATACAATTATTAAAAAAACTGCATATGAATTGATTTAAAAGTAAAACTAATCGATACCAAACGGTGTCTTACAAATAGCATATATAGTATATGCTCGCAGTCACACGAAAAATTTATTAGATAAATCTAGAATACGAAATAATAAGATTATCCCCAAAGCCGCAGCTCGTCGCCAAACTCAAAGTGTAACATCAAATACCCAATCATTGTCACAATATATAATTCCTGTATCTCGTCAGTCAGCGGACCCGTGCGTTACAGAGTATATAGACACATATACCTACAGTTAAACATACGTAATAAGATTGACACATTTGTTCAAAGCACTTGTGACAGCCACGGATCGCCCCTGTGCACACACATCGAGAATACATCTATAAATTTGGATATATTATGTAAGTTTTTGAATACAGAGCACGTGCGAGAATGTGCCTGCATTCAAAGAAACCACATCTGTTCTGAATTAATCCAACTGCACAAAGTCGGCCTAAACTTAACACGTATCTTGTCACACCGGTTACACATCTAATGTTCCTATAAGGTGAGATGTATAAGCCTAAAGGACCAAGATTTGGTATAATGAAAAAACAGGAAAGTGATTTTTAGGTTAAGTCACTTAGCGAGAACCTTTACTTGTCGTTCGCCGACTGAACTAAGTATCACTTAGTTATACATCCGTGCTAGCTTTTGTGTATAAAAAACTAGCTCAATTGTGAACTAAGCTATATTTAATTCTGTGGATAAATTGGCTTAAGCGACTTGTGGAATTGGAACCAAATTTGTATCATTTTGATTCTTAGTTGTGTAGCATTCTTTATATCCAAATGAGTATTGTTTTTTTTATAATGTTTATGTTAATTTAAGTTAACGGTGGTAATGATAATGTCTATGTCATATTGCTTAGTAAGTAGTAGGATATAATTTTGTTCTCTACCAAACCCCGAGTTATCATACAATGTGTTCAATATATTATACAGATATCTCTTGGTTATGTTTTATATTAACAATGATTTGATCTGCTTAGTCTGATAGAAAAATAAATTTGAGCGATAGTGTTTTGGCAGCCTCCGTTATTTAAAACTAAACCCAAGTTTGAAGTATGTACAGGCGAAAACAGTAAAAACAAATGATAATAATATCCTTATGCCTATTTCCCTAAATCTACTTTAATCTAATCGAATAAACATTTTACTTAAAATACAATGTATTATGCTATGACATGTATAATGATATGGCAAAATTATCTCTTTGAACATCTACTACAACTAATATTCGCCTTGAATAAGCAACCGTGTGAAATTTTTTTTGGGAAACTTTACAGCTACGTCTTTAGGCTCATATAGAAATACATACGGTTACAATACACAAATATGTCTTATTCTAACACAGATAAAATTTGACGTTGAACACGGAAACCTTCAAAAGATCACAAGAACGCCTAAAATTCCCCCAATGCCCGTATATAATCGATCAAGCAAATTGACAATGAGATTGAGATGAACTACGATTATAAAAATCTCGTAACGCACGTTAAGCTGAGCGCACACTAACCCATTCAGCATACACTATATTAGGTTCTCAAATAAAGATCTTGTACACATGATCAGTACGTCGGGTCAGATACGCGACCACTAGAAAAAATAGTTTGTAAACATCTAAGCTAATGTTACTTACGTACAATATGATATTGAGCTTAGCGAGTTAGTATGCGCTCACCCTTTTATCCCAGATAATTATTTCGATATGTATTTTGCTTTATTATTGCGAATACTGCATGACCTAACTTCCCTTTACAATAATTTAGTGAACGTAAAATTGACGTAAATATAGATCCAAGATCAAACATCAAGCTGATATGAATGTATTGCTCAAGAATGTTAAAGCCGTTGTTCGTAGCTTTCAGGATATGCAATACTTTTCCTCCGTCACAACCATCGGTCCAAACGAATGTAAATAAATATAGAATCTATATATCTATTAAGGATTTCGCTACTACGAGGGTCGGTTGTCGGGGGTGTCACAAGTACAAAGGTTAGCGGCAGAACGCTATTATTTATACAACATAAATTCCATGCGAGGTGCAACCTCGTTCTAAATGCCTCGCCGAAGCCTCTTCGTGGATGGGTTCCTTCGCGTTAAAACTATACGATTCGTCAAAATTTTCCCACACAATGTACAAGTGCGGACTGTCACTCCGACGTTCTAGAACGATTTTAAATATTCGAACTTCGTAAATCGAATTTGATAGTATTGCCGTCCCTTTCGTTCTCTAATGTGACGATAGAGACGGCAAACTTTCAAATGAGTTTACTCCGATAAACGAACGCAATCTATCGTCGTTACGTTGTATATGGGCAGTCCGTTTGTGCATTGTATGCTACAGTATCTATACAGGCATAATATCTCAAAAGTTCGTTTCGTTAATATCTTGTGCTAATAGCATGTCCCAAGCGTTTTCCTGTTCAATATGAATAATCCGAGTGAATTTCGTAATCCGTGTAGACGTAATCGCCTATTGTCACATCCATTGTATTGTCATTTACCAGTTTATAATTGTACTCGTACCATCTAAGTTTAGGCCTATGTCAATTACATATTCTGAAGAACAATTCCTAATATTACATAAGTGTCGTAAGTGTTTAAGTGTTGAAGCGGTAAGCCGTTAGAACTATTTGTTACCATCTTTTACAACTTGAAGAGGTGAAGCTATAAGAACAATATTTTACATTGTGAGAGTATTGTTAATATGTAGCGTTGTTTTAAGGGGGGAGAAATATCATTTACTATCGCGCCCTTGGCAAGAATTTTACAAAAAAGTTAAAAGTACTGTTTGTAGTTACGCGCACATTTAGTTAGACTGTAGTTGACATAAATTGGACATGACTTTAACTTATACATTGCGAGTTTTAAACCGTTAAAAGTATTTTAATAAACAATTACAATAAGATTAAAATTTTAACTATAGTTAATATTAGACTAAAACAAACTAAACACAACATCTCATAAACAAAATTTTATTACATAAATTTATCTCACGGTTTCAACCCCGTACCGTTGAAAGCGCTACATATTAGCAATAATTATTTTTAGCATTTAACAGTGATACTGATACGATAGATAAAGTTTAAGCTGTACATAATATACAGGGAACACGCGGCTACCTCTCCTTTGTGTCTAGCCAAATCATTTCACGATACATCAAAAGAGAAGTTTTATTGACCTGGTAGTTCCATGGTAACTTCTACTTTGACTTTCAGCTGTAGTGACTGGCTAGTACCTAGAACGTGAGATGCGAGTGTCAACTGTCTATAGATATGTAGATCGAAATATTATGTCACATGATAATATCTTGTAAACCCGTTAGGAAATTATCGTTATAATTGAAGAATTTTTTTTGGACTTTAAAAGGATAAACGTAAAATAAAAGTAAAATTATAATAATGCTTAGTATGTATTATTTACTGTATTTCATGATAAGATACCTATACTCTCTGTAGTATACGCGAGTAGTACACATTTAAATAAAACACTAACGGTTTAAAACGCGATATATATTAGTTGAACTTATTTGAAAATTATTTTAACTACGGCCCGAGGTTTCGGATGCTTTATGGGGAGACTAAAGATAGACGGCCAGTTTTGCCAAATACCACCTTCGACGGACAACAGATACGTCAGAGACACCCTCCAAAGCATTCGAAACGTCGGACCATAGTTAAAATAATTTTCAAATAAGTTCAATTAATATATATCGCGTTTTAAACCGTTACAGTGTTTTATTTAAATAAGATACTTGTATTCAAATGTAGGTATCATTTAATTTATTTGATATTTGAAAACGTCGTATGGTATATTTGTAGATAACAGTTGACGATCGCACTCACCGGCTGACAAAGATGGGGACAATTAATCTTTATTACTAAAACTGGTCTCGTATGGTACAAGCGATATACTATAATAAACATGAGCGGCTACTTGTCTAACTATATTTTGTAGAAGCACAAAGAGTTCACGAGGAATCACTGGTCTGAGGCAAGGTCGAGTTGGGAGGTTGGTGGGTCACACGTGACAGGCGGGTGGCGAACGAGCTGGGAGACGCCCGCGCCATACTCCGCAAGAAGGATCCCGACTCGCCTTACCTGGAAAACCATATTTCGACATTAATAAACAGTTAACGTAGACAAGTGAATATGGAGTGCGTAACGCCGCTTCTGCACGTGTATTGATAGCACTAATTTGAAAATGGAATGTCTCTACATTTTTGAAAATATAATACGTCTCTACATGTTTGAAATTGGAATACGTTTCTACATTTTGAAAATGGAATACGTCTCTACATTTTTGAAAATGGCATACGTCTCTACATTTTTGAAAATGAAAAACGTCTCTATAATTTTAAAAATGGAATACATCTCGACATTTTTGAAAATGAAGGATTCTAATTGGTCCTGTTCCTAAATTTAAAGTGTTTTTGATAATTTTTTCCCTTGTTTCAGAAGATTTATTGGTCCTGTTTATAAAAATATTTCAATTTTATATCTTCAAAATTTAGGCTAAAGCAAGAGATATGTATATAAACTTAATAATTTAGTTTGCAGCTAATAATTATATAGCTTAATAATGATTTGCAGCGCTTCACACTCAATATTTCACTTGCCCATACATAGATACTTACACTGCCACGTTGGGAGTAAAACGAACGCCAATTGTCTCGATTAACGCCAAAGTATAGACGAAAAGAAACATTAAAAATGTCTATCACTAGCTGAAATAAACGAAAACAACGAAACACAAGCACTGTTTTACACTGATCTTTCTAAGAATTTATACCTATTATAGGTGACCTACAAAATAAGGATACATAATTTCAGTCGTGAAATCGTCGTAATCGAGAGGAACATGCGAATTTTGTGTGCCCTAAAACATTGGGTGATCATCAACTTTGGGTCGGATGCATCACTAAACATATAAGACGAATACCTTCAATACATAAGTTCTTGGAGGAAAGAGTAAAACACTTAGACACATTTCGGTAGACAGCCCAAACTGAGTTTGGAGCAGCGGGTCTAGCGCGTGATGCGGAAACTATGGTTCAAACGGGTTAAAAAAAAATCAAGTTACTTTAATTTTGTCCTCAACCTTTTATTAGTCTCTGGAATTCGAAATTTAAAATATATAATACATGCCCGTACAATTAATTAGAAGCTGATAAAACACACAGTATTTTTGTCACATTAAATTACAATCAACTCTAAGATAACGAAGAGTTTTCGTTAACTACATTCAAATCACGCGCTAAACTCACCGTTTACAACACAATGTTAGGAAAGGGCCCATTCTATATTATGTAACTCCCGACGATTATTGTGCAGAAAATTTAAGTTAAACAATCTTATCTTTGTTTCGTGTATTTTTGTATATGTTTCAATTGTTGATTAGGCGAGCTAAAAGATCTTAATACACCACGATATTTCTATATTCTTTAACTCGCTATACAGGGAGGTAGTTTTTTTTACTCGTCGGGAGTCTACGACACGAAAACGCCTATAAAATGACGCAGCGACTAAAGTAAAGTGGCCCCAGCGCTCTCGACAAAGAGCGCTGCAATATCGGCCTATGTAAAATTTATTTGACATTTCTAGACGCTTTCATGATATACATAAAATGAAGGGGCGTGAAGAAGATGAAGGGTCAATATAGACACCGCTAGAGATATTAGCGTACGTGTCTGCTGGCCTCTCAATGAAACATACATAAAACAACTTTCTCTACATCGTTCAATGAAATGCCAGTTGTGTGTCATGCTTATATCATTTGCGACTTACAGATTTAATTTCCCGCGGGATGATGAACGAGTACTTCTACTAAAACTGAAGAAACCAAAAAACAATGCATTAATGTTTCAAGTGGCTGTGATCGAATGCGTGCTACTAAAATGACGTATACTTTTTCTCTTGGCTAAGATAAGACGCTGCCGCGAGTTTGCGGGATGTAAATTTTTAATATCTCTAGAACGGGACACGGGGGCACCGCAGAGCAGCTGGGGAGATCGCGGGGTGGGGGTCGGAGGGGGAAAGCACGTGTGGGGCGGAGCTTAGGTGGCCGGCGGCTGCCGCAGCACGTATCGATCGCCGCACACAGTATCCATTTACCGCGGATCGAAGCTCGCCAGCAAGACTCGCCTTGTGTCCCTTCAATGGTGTGCTACCAATGCCTTTCGTTGGCACGCCGAAATTGACGAGCTTATCGTACCAAAGCGCTTCTTATAAGCTCTCCTTATAGCAGGTTTAAATTTTCTACAGCGCTTGAAGGCAATTACTTTAGCATAATTATTTATTTGCACTCGCGCCCCTTAATACTCAACACGTACTCGTAGTTAATGACTCTCGACGCTAATCCGATTACGAGGGCGACTGCATTTTTAAACGTAATCATTTTTAGCACACGTCTTGAGCGATTTGCATGAGAACTTTGTGCACATCGAGGTTTATTGTACATGAGGGTGGGCATTGTAAAATGAGCCCTACTTTCAATGCTATACAATCTATTCTCGATTCTACAAAGTGTTCGAGGTTTATCATGATTTTATTGCGCATACACATTAAAAGGCTTATGTTATCTTATATTTATGGTTATACTTGGATTTGGAAATGAATATGGAAATCGGTACAACTGAATGCTTTACTGTACTTTTAACTGATTGGAACTACAAATACTATAAAATTTGGCTTATAACTATTGTACGGTCCTACAATAAAATGTAAAAGGAATTTTTCGGTCTTTTTAATAAGAATGAAAGATTTTAGATAATCTGTGTGGAAAGAAACTACTTCTGTAGTAGAACATGTTAACTATTTCAAATTTCGAACTATTATTTTCGACCGTTAACAATATTGGACTGAATTTAATGATTCGTATAGTACCAAGCATTAAATGTAGAACAAGGGAATTGAGAGCTATTATCTCGAGTGAAATTTGAAAATGGAATGTTGCAGTTGGAGTTTGTAACGGTTTTAAGGACAACATTACCCGTTGGTCAGACGTCTGTTTCTATAGAGTCAGGTGCGCTTGCGCTGTGTAAGTGGTTGACGCGCACGTTGCACGGAGCACGCCGTCGCGGGTCCCGTCGGGCTGAATCCATGCCCAGGGCCCTCGCGTTGCGCTTGGCCAAAGCGGCTTGTTGCTTCATCAGCTCGTGTTGCTTGATCTGATAATCAACCAATTATTTGAGCTAGCTTAAAAAATCAGATAACGCCATAAAAGTGTTAGACGTATCTATGTTGTTGTAACTATAAGTATACTGTACATAGAAAGTTTTTATTTTTCATTTAAATAAAACGCTAACGGTTTTAAACGCGATATATATTGGTTACGGGGAGACGTCGGGCTGTAGTTAATAACTAATATGTTTCGTTTTAAATCGTAAACGTGTTTCATTTTATGTGAACCACACGCTTAAACTACAGACAGTTTTTTGTTTCAATAAATCATATTATTGAGAATAATTTACAAATTTTTATTACAGGGAATTCCGCTAAATAATAAAAGAGGCTTTAATAGGTTTGATCATTCCGAGTGCGCTAGCTATGCATAAAATTATTTGTTTTTAACAAACGGGCAGTCAAATAGTACCAAGAACAACATCGCAAAGAACGTTACTTCTATTCGTAGTCATACACGAAATATCTTTCTCTTCTCTTCTGAATATTTCAAAAAGCACTAACCTGATTTAGACGCAGTGCATCAAGCAATTCAAGAGTAGCAATATCATCCGTGTTCCCAGCCGCTTCCATAGCCTTCTGTTGCTCTAGGAGTAGTCGTTCTTCTTCTCGTAACCGCCTCAAGTTGGTCTCCAGATGGGGATCAGTGACAAGCGCTGATTCTTCCAAATCCATCATGTCAGAGGAAGAGTCATCACTCATAGATGTCTTCTTGATTGGTCCTGAAACTGTATGGGTTTGGCATGGCATAAGACTTATATGAACATGGAGTAATGGACGAAGAATGTTTAATCACACGTTTAATTTTAAAATACCTTTAACATATAAGATTTATTTTACGTTTCTTTAATGATAAATTCGTCAATCACAAAATTACATATGTAGTGTATTTTTTCTAACTTGGCATTTTTCATAAAAACGTGATTTTCTCACTAAGTTTACATTGACACTTTTAGACACTGGAATAAATATTAAACTAATGAATTAACTCAAATTCACTTAGTAAAAACCACAACTTCATGTAATAATTAACGAAAATGTTAAAATGGAATGTACGTAAATGCACAGATAAAAATTTATTAGTTTGACATTTACATAAGGACGGGATGCAAGCAAAGTCAATAACAATAGAAGGTAAAAAAAAAGGTTGTCATAGAAGTTGTTTTGAATACTGAAGTCGTTTGGTCCATATTTATAGAACATTTCCTCATCCCCGTGTCATTTGTGACAACAACTTCACTCTATCAATAGGTTATCACTAGCATTCTACGGACTAGTGATAACCTTTACTAAGAAGTCGGCCATACTTGTTGTGTGCCAAGTTAGAAAAAATACACTATACATAATATCTTTATCGTATATGTAGTACTGTCACTAACAGAATCTGAAAAATTGTTACCCTTAAAGGTATTTCAAAATAAGATCTTCTAGCCAACTCCAAATAATTGTGACTAGCGTATATTAATTCAAGACAATCTTAAATGCGTCTATTTTCAATAATTAAATACAGTTGAAACCTATTCAGTAATATATAAAATGTCTGTAGATATGTATATTAGTGGATATTTAAGTGTGTTAGTGTTTTTAATAGTATAAAAACAAGGGTCATGTTATGACGTTTTTCTTAATAATTTGTATGTTCACGAGTTTACCACAAAATATTAAACATTCACAAGCAAGCTGAACGTTAGCTTATATTAAATGCTCTATCCAATGACTGTTTTACTGGACATCGATTCGAAATTTAATTAAGACCTTAACTTTCCAGCAGTTACGCGAGCTGAAAATAACCTCGTTTCCACAGACACTGATGCTAAATAGAGCAAACTGGCTAACTGGAAGCAAAGATGCATAATCTTGTTATCTATGACATTTATGCAGGTTTATGTCGCATTTAGCACAGGCTACCACACGTACAAATCGGATTATTGGTGTAATGCTTGTGGCTTTCCACGAGCTAACTACATTGTGGGCTTAGCAACCACGCCTGAAACCTATGGAGGCTCTACGGCGCACTAAGAAGATTGCACAGCCATATGCTCGTGGAGAGAGCAGGCTTTATGATAGTGACGTCATAGGATCTTGAAGCCTTCGATTATAGATGAAAGATTTGAAGAATAAAAATGCTATTTAAGTATCGGATGTACTTTCCGCGAGGAGAACACATTTATATTAACCTCTTGTAACGGTTTAAAACGCGGAATATATTTAACAAAATTACGATTTTTTCAACTATGACCCGACGTTTGCTTTGGCAGGTGGTACGGGGGGAATGTTTGAGCTAGAATAATTGTAATAAGTTAACAATATATTTTCCCTTCATATATTAAAATAATATTTTAAGGTTTAAGTGTTTTTTTATGTTTTGTAACTTTTTTTTATTTGTATAAAGAATAAACAAATAGCTTTTTAGCTCTACCACAATCCTGAAGAAATGTATTTTAATACGTGAAGTTTTTAAAGCTTTGGTAATTTGGCAAGATAAAATGAGAATCAAATAAAATAGTATAAAGACATTGAAATAGAGCTGATTTGATGAAATTATTAGTAATAGCACTGGCATTTACATACTATGGAAATAACAATTAAATTGAAAACACACATAAAACCAATCAAACAAAACAAAAAAAAGACTTACGATTTGCGATCCATAAACATAATTATTTTATACTAGGTACCAAAATATTATGTTATAAATTAACTAATATTTAAAGAAGCAACTGAAATTTTAAACTTAATATGTATTGATGTTTTCTTGTGAATTCGGTTCAAAATCTGGTTTAAATTGAGAAGTCATTAATTTTAGGTCAATGAAATTCTTTTTATTCCAATCGTGAAATTAGTTGCTAAGGTGTATAAAAGACGACCACGTCGTATCATTAATTAAGATTAATATCAGTCTTCTTCAGTATTTCGTAAAACGCATATTACAGAAAACAGGCCCGCTACGTCCCCAGCGGTCTAAAACGGGCGTCGCCTAAGAACGTTTAAAAATAAATATGTCGCAAACATAACTAGAACAAAAAAATATGTTTTATTACCGCATTTTTACAACACTTAAAACTAATATTTACATCAACACGTCACTGTCCTATTCGTTAATATCACAAGAATCGTCTCTATCGATGTAAAAGTCTCAATTGAACTAAAGCATCACTAAACAGTCAATGATCGAAGAGTTCGTCGCGTTCATCGTCCCTTCCTGTAATAACAAAGAATAAAAAAGAAATAAATGAAAAACAACTAAAAACAATCGAAGAAATAAAAAGAAAATAATTTTGAAATTGGAATAGAACCAACCTAAATACGGTTCACCCATGGTTCCCGGCAAGTAAGGACAGCTGGTCACGTGATTGAAATTCTGCGACTGCATCTCCTCCTGGTCCGTTTCGCGGTGGTAGAAGTAGTTGAAGTTGGATACGATGACGGGCACTGGCAGTGCAATGGTGAGCACACCAGCGATCGCACACAATGAACCCACGATCTTTCCCCACACTCCAACAGGCCTGATGAAATAACGTCTCATGTAAACATCGCCGGGCACAAATAAATAAAATGTTACTACTGAATATGACCGTGAACATGCAGTACGTACCCTGTTTGCTTGGAACTGTATAAAAAAATCTAAATTCGCTCTGCGGTACCTTTCATTCGTCACCACACAGTCTCGCCAGCAGAATATCGCTTCGCTTATTAACGCTAGCGTACGCCCGAAATAGTCGAATTCTCACACTGAGCTATATCAACAGGTCAATCGCATTGCAGATATTACAAAATATCTGTTAACATAGCCCCAAGGTAAGAACTCGGTATTAACGAGCGTGATGTTTAAAACTAAACGAGTAACTATCATGCAATTTGGCTAACACAAATGGTACATGTAAAGACTATCGAAAATGGTGTGATAGTTAATAATGAGGTAACGACGTCGGTTTAGAGCGAAGTCCATGCTTGAAATCCCATTTCACAAAGGCATTCGATGTAATTAACCACTAATTTCTCGTTCTTATTTAAGGCTATGAAATCGTATCACTCCCTTTGCTTCTATAGTCTAATACAATGTCAATCAGTACTAAAACACCAAGGTGTTCACCATTTTCGATAAGCTGTAATAATTTTGACAAAACATCTAGAGCTCCACAACACCAATTTGGACAAGTGATTTGAAGCACAAGCGTTGGACAGGAAAATACAGAATAGATAGCTTTGACAATTTTAACCGACTTCAACAAGATCTGGTCGGGATCTTACTGAAATTTTACACCGAAAGCAACAGTATCCCGAATGATTACGCTTTGGAGAGGGCGATTGTTATAATTAATCTTTGCGTCTGTTAAAATACTATCACGAATAACGATCATAGTGGTAATTACACCGTTCCGCTCTGTGTGAAATTGATTCAGGTTGAACTCGACTTAACACAAGGTACTAAGTACTGTCATGATTGTGCGAATATATAGTAACGACGTTAAATAATAAACTTTGATTTAGCGAACCAAATATCAAATCAAACAGAAGCTTATGGATGGCAGTTAAGTAGATATGACGAAAACTTCAATAGTGAACTGTCAAAAAAAGGTATAATAACATAATAACGATGAAATGAAACGACGTAAATAGAAAATGATGTTAAGGGTGTATTCGCTGAATCATACGTCATGTCTCCGTATCCTACGGTCGTCATGGTAACGACCGCCCACCAAAACGCATCAGGTATCGATTTGAAGAAGCTATTTTCGCTTCCCGCTTCCGCGAAGTACACCGCTGATGAAAACAGCACCACACCTTTAAGCACACATGAAGGCGCATACAGTGGGAGTTACAACGAGTGGAGGCAGTTGGGAGCAGCTGCGGGACGGGTCGCGTCACGTCATTTACCTCATGTCCCCATAGCCAACGGTGGTCATAGTAATAACGGCCCACCAAAACGCGTCCGGTATAGAAGAGAAATTCGAATCGGGCCGATCTTTTTCAGCGAAATATACGGTACTGGAGAATACGACCACCCCTGCGAACATAAAGCTTGTTGTGCACGCTTGTCTGCGGCCCATCCGCGCTGCTCAGCACCACGCTAGGCCAATTCTCTTCATCCCCTTCCGAATTCACTTCTTAACATAACAAATTAGTCAGTTCGTTTTCGAGCGCTTTCAAACTAAATTTACTTATCAGATCTCCTAATCTATGCATTGCTTTTATCTTACTTGTAATTTTGTACATATTAGTGTAGTATTTAAAAACGTTTATTAACTTACCAATGAAGAGGAAAAATATTAGCAGCCCGAGTTCTCTCATAGACGCTTTGAGGGTACGTCCCAAAATTTGCAGACCCTTGGAATGACGTGAGAGCTTGAAGATCCGGAAGACTCGGACAAGACGTATCACTCTCAGAATCGCTAAGCTCATAGCCTGGTTCGTGGACTTGTCTTGAGGTGAAACCGGAGCTCGCGGCAGGTTCAGCGTGTCCTCTTCTTCAGCAACGACGGTAGCAAGCGTGATGAAGTAGGGAATAATAGCAATAATATCTATTATGTTCATCACATCCCTGAAGAAGTTAAATTTGTTCGGACAAGCTAAGAACCGCACTATCAACTCGAACGTGAACCAGATGATACACAGTGTTTCGATTAAGAAGAACGGGTCGGTTATGTCGGGGACTTCGTCCTCCTCGATCTTTGTGCCGTTGGTTGTGGTGTTGTAGACTTTGTAGTGCTTGAATTCTGGCAGTGTTTCAAGGCAGAAGATGACGATGGACAGGAGGATCACGAATACCGAGATGATGGCGACCACGCGCGCGGCCTGGGAGCTCTCGGGGTATTCGAAGAGCAGCCAGATCTTGCGTTGGCGTTCGTTGGAGGGCAGAGGCTTTTCCTCCTCCTTGATGAAACCCTCATCCTCACTGAAATTCCACGCCACTTTTAATATTCATGAACAAATGTGATTATAGTTTTTAAACAGAGTTTCAGTTGCAATTTTAAACTACCCCAATTATATATACAGAACCCAAATGGCCTTCCACGCTTAACTGCAATTGTTATAATGCCACAAACCACAAAAGTGGTGATAGCGAGTATCAAATTTTAAATATAAATCGCTATAAAATGGTTTTAATTGATCGAATTCGAATGGCCGGTCACTACAAAGTTGAGTTCAGACTAATGAGAGCTCCATCGAGAACAATTAATTGTTCGATGCCCGCTTGACTCCAACTTGTACACAATTATTTGTGAAAAAGTCACAAAATCATAATTCTTTTCCCGGAAAAATGTTGGAAGCTTTTAAGCGGATAATGGCGACGGCAAATTGTAAATGTGACGTGAAAAGAATCCATTATGTGTTTCTAGAGTTTACTTTCTATTTGCGAGAGGATAAGGTGTCATGATTTTAATATTTAATGCGTCATTATAACATTATTTAGGTCTTTCGTTTTTTTGACTTTCTTGACACGGTACACCCGTGTCGCAGGCAAAAGATAATTTGTAAAGATTTTATAAAGCTTTATAAGAATATAAAACTATTTTGGACATGGGCTGTGATAATAGGAAGATTATCAATCCCAAAAAGACTTCAAATTTAAATATGGAGATTTATATTTCTTTGCGCTGTCAACTTGTTTTTACTATGGATATTCGGAAATCACCGGAAAACTAAACATGATTACTTGACGGCTTTTTAATCCATGACCCGGACGGTATTTCGATATTCCTACCAATCCAGATATCCAGACGACGTCCAAATTGTTTCAGAAAATTATCTATCATGTTGGACCCGGTGGGGATCGAACCCCGAGCTCGTCACTTCCTTTCCTCCATCTTAAACTTTTGCAGAAAGGTTCTAAACAAATACCGGAATTTGTTGGTGGCCTGTTCGCCAAGCTCGTAGAATTTGATCTCCTCCGAGAAGACGTCAAGTGGTACGTTAACTGGTCTTCGCAGACGCCCGCCACTCTGGTAGTAGTACAGGATTGCGTCGAAAGACGGTCTATTTCTGTCGAAGAAGTACTCATTCCTGAAACAAAGCGTAGATGTGAAATACAAATCGTTATTAATCTTTTGTATATGAAAAACATTATCTATAAAACGAGATGTATTGTATATTACATTGTGTGTGTTCGTTATTTAAATAAAACAATTTAATGGTTTTAAACACGATATATAATAGCTAATCTTATTTGGAAATTATTTTAACTAACATTACACATTTTGGATGCTATGCATTAGCCGTGGTCACGGGGGACTGAAGGGTGTGCCCAATGTCAAAGAAATAATTTGCTACACTGATGCCATTTGTTTCCTTATTAGGAGATAGGAGCTGGGCCCCCGTGCTGCTGCAAAGCATCCGAAACGTCGAGCCGTAGTTGACGTATTTTCATCCGTTAAAAGTGTTTTGTTTAATCTCGAGTGCGACAAATGAAAGATATTTCCTTACCGAAGGGGATCAAAGTATCTTATTCTTCGTGCTGGATCACCCAGCAGTGTTTCCGGGAATTGATTCAATGTCCTTAGCTGGGTTTCAAATCTGAGGCCGCTAACCTGTCAACAAAAGAATAAACGCTTAAAATCATTCAAGCCATTGTAAAGTGAAATCTCCTTAGCCGCGTGGGGCACAGGGCGAACATATATATGTGTCCTGCCCGACCGAAACAACGGAGGAAATAATTAACCTTTGAGAGCTTCCGTTGTGTGCCCTGCAAAAACAGTTCAATTGAATATATTCTAAATATTTAAATATATATCGGATTTCGTCGGGTCTTTTTCGAGTTCAAAAGAATTTTTAAGTTATTTATTTTTAGATTATAAATAATATTTAAATACTTATGCAATAAACAAAAGTTGATCAGCTAATAATATATTTATAAACACGATATGTCATTATCTTTACGTGCTCAAGGTTGATTCAACATTTTACGTAATCGGAAACTAAGTAATTAACAGGCGTAAGCAACATCGTCTTCCAGATAGGATCCTGCCAACTGTCGGGTAAAAATTAGAATTTCAGACTCTAACAAGCAAAAACTTTTAATAGGAAAACTTTGAACTAGAGCCAGCCACAATCAGTGTTATTGGATATTTTAATTTGATTTCTGCTTTAAAGCCGGCTCGGGGATTTCTTTTAAGAAGTACTCTCGATGTTTTTTACATTGCAACTACTGATAAAATGTCACAAGGTGAATGATAAGCCTTTCCCTTTTAAATCCAATTAAAACGTGCTGTCGATTTAATACGCGTGATAACAACGAAGACGTAAGTTAACATTACACTGTTTAGGGTTTGTAGATGAAACGCCGTAAGCGAACACAATTGGATTAATAAAAGTAACTTCTTCTTCTTCGATTATACGACACTTTTTCTTCCATTAACAACAGTAGTAATTCAATCTATATTCTACTCTAATTTAGTACGTCCAATGTGTCAATTAAAATTAAATGTTATTAAGAATATAACAGCCTTATATCATTTGAAAACATTAATATTTTCACATGTTATGCACATGAAGGCACTATATAATTTAATTTTTTTAATTATATATATTATACATTATAAGTATTAATATAAGTAATTTAACACGTTATAACTTTGTAATTTCATCTTCAATGATTTCTTAAGCTGCAAAGCATAAGACATTGAACCTTAATGCGCAAGTGTTAAGGTTGAAATTACATTGTGCGAGAGGTGCATAAATCAATAAGTTGAAAAAATTCGACGATGAGGTGTAGGACTCAGTAGCTCAATTGGTAGAGCAACAGCACGGAAAGCTGACGATGCCGGTTCAAGTCCTGCCCGAGTCGAAAATTTTTTCAATTTATTTTCGATTTTTAAGCCCTTTAATCATTTCAAAGCCCCGTCCTGTATGTTCCACAATATCAGCTATTTCACTAGTTTTAATAATATAAAAAGTGAATGAATTTCAACTAGGCGAATTGTGTCTTATAAATTGTGTTTTTAGTGTGTATATTACTTACATACCATGTAAGTATGCACTACGTGACGTTTAATTAAATTAATTGAAAAAAATGTTTATATATCTAGTTGATAAACTTGTTGAATAAAAAATAAACTTTTTCAGCCAACACACCAAATCATTACAACATTCTTAGAGTTTCGTTTTTGTTCCTTTCCTTTTCCACTGTAAGCATTATGTGCGATGAACGCTTATCACATCAAACAACTCAAGAATATCGGTTACAAATATTAGCAGAGCGTCTAAAGCAAAGCAATAAATATACATTTATAACAATCCGGATGAACGCGTACCGCAGTTGCACTGACATCAAATTTGTTTATCATTATTCAATTATTGATATATTAAAAGCTTTCAAAAGCGTTTGATGCTACCACCTGTTCCTAAGTGCCAGTTTACGTGTTTATCGCAGAGCTATCGATACCACTTCACAATGTTTATTCGTAGTAAATCAATTCGATTATTTCCTTCTGTAATTAATAAATTCAATCGTTTCAAAATTTCAATGCAATTTAAGCAAGTTACAAAATTTAAAATCAATTTAAAACAAGTTACATGTTAATTTAAGTTTTGGGCATCGGTGTAATCGGGTCGTGGGTTCGATCCCCAATGGATCCAGCATCCGATCCGGTTCGGCTTCGTCTGGAAATCTGACTCTTAAATAGATGGTCACGAACCTCCATCTGATGTAAAAGCCGTAAAGTTAAAACGTATTGCAGTTCAGTCTGTGGATTTGAGAATATTCAAAGCCATAATAGGCGGTCACATCCTGTTGAGATATTATATGACTGGGGTATTTACCTTCCATCAAGTAAACCCCAGTTGTCTTTGCTCTATAGCAAAATCAAGTATGTTCTGCTATTTCTTCAAACTTTGTATATTCGATCTGGTATCATATAAACATATTTCTCCTGACTGCGAAACATTATTTATACGTAAATACTGTCTATAGTTTACGCGAGTAGTACACATTTAAATAAAACACTTTAACGGTTCAAAACGTCTCCCCGTGACCACGGCTGCTGCAAAGCATCCGAAACGTTGGGCCGAAGTTAAAAATCATTTCTAATAAGTTTAACTAATATGTCGCGTTTTAAACCGTAAAGGGTTTTATTTAAATTACTTATACGTGCTATTAAATTCTTTGATAGCTTCATTCGTCGCGTAGCTTTGCTAACGTTGATAGTGTGCAAACACGCTAATAAAATAAAATATTTAGTAAGACCGAAGAAAAAACGATGTTAATGTAAAATAATTATTGTATCAAGGTAGACGCGGGTTAATTTGTGTCATTAATCATAGCCTTTGAATTACGTTGGCTTGTAAACATTATTTCTGGTATTCTTAATATAACTTCTGCGATAGGGGGTCCACGTGGAATTTGGCGCGATGCCTAGCTACATCTTATAAAACATCAACGTCGACCCTCTCAGTAGGTCAGTGCTGAGATTTTGATATAAGGTTATAGGCCAACATAGGAAGGCATTGTTAACGCTTTGCGATACACGTAGACTTATAATTTTTCTGACATTAAAAACAGAAGTATTCGATGTAAGCCCTATTTCCCCTACGGGGAGCATGGGGCAGAATTATCTACGTCTAATAAGTCGATGATTTTCTCAAGCTGCAATGCATAAGACAATGAACCAAATAAGTAAGTGTGTTAGGGTTGAAATTACATTGCGAGAGGTGCATGTATAAAAAGATTGAAAAATCCGACGATCACCTGTGGGACACGGTAGTTCAATTGGTTAAGCATCATCAGCATTAAAGCTGTGGATTGCGATTCAAATACCGCCTGTGTCGTGATTTTTTTGTTCCATCTAAGATCGATTTAGGATCTAAATTAATTCTTGTGACTTCTGTCCTCAAGTCGAGTCGTAGTCAGTATGTACGAAGTGATGTGATAATATGAGAGACTAAAAATATCACTAAACAACACAAATTCTTACACCGTCTTTTCTATACAAACTAAAAATAATGTTAGCAGACAGTAGCGTGTTTTGTCTCTTTTATTTTCGCTTTAAATCGCTTAAAGCGAAAATAAAAGAGACAAAATTTGTGCGACAGAGAGAAAAGTAAAATATAGAGAGCCGAAAACTGTAACGACTAGAACTGTAGACATCACTATGCGGTAATGTTATTAAACAGCACACATCGACGGTCCCCAATAACTTCATTAGCGGTGTATAGGGAGTCACGTCACCAATCTAAAACAACCCAAATCGATAACATCAGCTGTTTAATACTGAATGAATTAAATCTATACTAATATATAAATCTGAAGAGTTTCTTTGTATGTTTGGACGCGCTAATCTCAGGAACTACTTGTGGGAAAAGATAAAGTTCTTTTTCGGTTGGTTAGAGCATGTAATTAGGCAGGTTGAAAAACATCGCGCTGTGACTTATCGAAGCGAAGAAGCAGCGGGAAATGTAAAAAAAAGGGAACATTTTCATCTCTATGGGTTTCCGAGGCGTTCGCTGCAGACAAACAAACCAACAAACTCTTCAGCTTTAAATATTAGTATGGATAGATTTTAGTTATTAGTAATTATTATTTATTTTTAGAAGCGATGACGTGGATTTTATTTCTTAAGCATTGTCTTTCTTGCACCAGGCGACGTACTCGTAAAAGTGAGACAGAAAATTAATTACGGCGAAGTTCTTCATTTCAGACAAGTTTAACAACAGTTCCCGGGCGCTGAAAGTTTGGAGCTAGAGTTTCCCAAGATCTCCTTGAATTACAAACAAGTCCAGTTTAATATAAACCGAGTAATATAAAATAAATTCAGTTTTAACTTAATGCTAAAGTTTCGTCATAAGATTCCATTGTCAGTACAATTGTAAACAGAGACGGTGTATTTTATAACTGTACAACACGTCGGGCCGTAGTTAAAATAATTTTCAAACAAGTTTAACTAATATATATCGCGTAACCGTTAAAGTGTTTTATTTAAATGTGTACTACTCGCGTAAACTATAGACAGTATATTCCTAATTTTTCATAATTTTTCTAAAACATGCTCGACTTCGTCTGGAAATCTGGATAGAAATATAGAATTCCAGGCCGGGGCACGACCCACCGTCCACAGATGTGTGTTTGCACACTGTGGATTTCCGAGTATCCAAAGCCGAAATAGGTCGACACTGCATCTTGTTTAGATGCTATAGGTTGGGGTATATCATCAAGCCCCCATGGCATGTCATCCTTCCCTATAATAAAAAATAACTCAATAATTCAAACGGTTTTTGTGTCGGGCATCGGATAACCTAGATTCGCAAGCAGCAAGCTTATAGCATTATTTAATTGGTATCAAGTATCGAACGATATTACTTGTAGATATTTATGCAAGACGACACGCTCGTGTGCATGAGTTATAACAAGTTATAACGAGCGACGTTGCGATATATTCGTGCAAATATTTTATTACCATTATAGTAAAACATAGCTAGAGACTTGTAATATTAAATAACTGATATTGATCAATTTTATTAAAACCTTTAAAATATACTTTAACTACGGTCGACGATTCTGGTGGTGCCAGCGTAGCAGTTTTTACTTGGACGTCAG